TTTATTGACTTAAATGTATTTATTTTGAGGCCTTTTGTTGGACGGTTGTTGTGTTTGGGTGTTCAGCGCAATTACACAGTCGCCTATGTAGTTAAACCCTTTATTTTTCTCTTGGATTTTCTCGTTTTTCAACTTCTCCATTGCAATGGCAACAATTGTTGTTTGCTGCTCCTGTGGTTGTTGTCCATTTCTCCCCCTAGAGCGCATGTATTCCCTATAAATTTTTTACGATTTTATGCAATTGTATAGTTTGCGAAAAGTTTGTTGCAGCCATTTTTCGGTGCCGCCGTCGTGGCATTGTTTTTAACAAAAACAACAATGGCGACTACAATGCACCAGTCGACCCAGTGCGACACGCCCACTTGCCGTCCTGCCGTCCTGACGCCCTTTTTACATCCTTTAACCATGGGCCGCCGCAAACGCGCCGAACAAATGAACTCGAATGTCCTTTATATGCGTTTAGTGTTTATTGTGCCATTTTCTATGCTTTTCTGTGTCCTAGGCTTTGCGCTAGAAAACTTTGCAACAATTTGTTGTAGCTTCTGCTTCTGCTCGGGCTGTTTGTGCTTTCGTTGTTTGCTGGTGGGAACACAAAAACAAAAAAATAGAATGCATCTTCAAGGCCCCAACGACCAACATCGATCCGTTTTGCAAAGCCTTTGGATTAAATTCTACATAATTCATGGAATTTCTTGTGCCCCAAAAAAAAACCCTAGACTTTAATGCGGCCAAGTCCTAGATGAGTTCGGCCGGAAGTTGGAAGTTAGCGGAAAACTTTGTGACACATTGTATCCCTGCTTGTTTGCTGACAGAATGTCCTGGCTTCAACTTTTTCTTGATGCCACTGGTCTGTGCTGTTTTGATTTAAACGAAGTTGATCTTTAAAAATTCAAACAATTGTTTTGCTTTAACAAAAGACGGACAATATTATACAATTTTCTTTGGGGGTTAATGCAAAACGTTCATTAAACTATTTATAATATCGCAGATACACTTTTGGTTTTTATTTAGGCTGGAATCCTTTTTTCCAAAAATGTCGTAAATTTGTATTGTCAATTACACTCAGTTATAAAATGGACAGTTGACAAAGCAAAACGATTTTAGGGGGAAATTAAAAGTGACAAGAATGTGGAGAATTGCTTGAATGTACCCCTATGTATAAAAATACATAAAATACAAATTGTATAACATACATACATACCAATGAGAAAAAGCTGTACCCCCTCTGATCTTTTCACTTCTTGGCTGAAAAATATGCATATTTTGTTTGCCCTTACAAAAAATACACCATTCTGCCCTATCCATCAATTAAATATTTCGCTTGTTCAGCTATGGTCCATTGGGGCTCTATGGCATTTTTTTAAAGCTTTATTAAGCAACTGCAATGGATCCGATGTGGAATTTTATTGGCACCGCCAGCCACCCACTCCCGCAACTCCCTTGTGCAGTTGTCGCGGCTTCCTTTCATAGACAAATATTGCACTGGCTGATGCCCTGCGGCAGACTTTCTGCACTTTCCTCATGAACTGGCACGTACTTTTATACCCTTTCTGGGGATGCTGTATATACGTTTTGCTTATATACGTTTTGTGCTGGAGACGTTTCTGACTTAATAAATGTCATCTCGGTGAGATTGTTATTTACTTAGTCACTCTTGAGATATTTTCGATTGAAAATCAAGTTAAATATAAAAAATCAAAAAAGTTAAATCAGTTGCAATTGAGTATAACGAAGCTTATTTTAATTCACATAGACCAAAATAAATATCTGTATTTTGTAACAGACTCTTATTTAAGAAACTCATATGGTGTGAATATATAAATACTATTAAATTATATTTTAAATAATACTTCCATAAAAAATATTGTATGTTTTGTAGCATTTTCAGAATTGAAAGTCTCATTTAAAGCTCTAATTCTTTAATAAGGCCTCTTGACACAGTCTTATTTTAAATTTTTGCTTCAATGACAATCTAAATTTCAGATATAAGTTGGGAATATATATGACCATTTAGAATCGCAACACTTAAGTATTTGATTAAGATAAAATAACAAAAACTCTTTTGAGAAATTAGACTGTATAGATAAACTAACAAATTGAGTATGTGACAAGTAAATTACCGCCAGGGTATATAGACTTTGCCTTCCCGACGTGACCCAGCTTTTCCATTTTTTAATGCCGCTTTCAACGATCTGCGGGGCCTCACATGCCACCATGTTCTCCATGACTCCGTTTTCCGAGGGCTTGGCCCCGTCCTGTACACAGCATGGAAATGTCGCGGTTTTTGCTTTCCTCGGCTTTTATTTCAGCTGATTTTTTTATTATGGCTCTTTTTGTTTTGCCGTGCCGCTGTTGTATTGCCGCTGTATTCCTGGCGGTGGTCAGTTACGGCCACGATGGTCACGATGGCCGCGGAGGACGTTCGTTCGGTACGGTTTATATTGAAAAATTTGAATGCTAGTAAAAAGTTTTAATTGTCGCCGCCACGGCTGTCACATGTTGGCCTGCATGGCGGGGTCATTTAAAAATGCAGTCGACACCGATGCCGCCGCTGCAGCCCGTTATTGTTAACAATATTTTTCAATACAATTTTCCCTTGATTAAAATATGCAATGCACTTGTTTTCCGCCGGGGCATTCGGCCAATCTATGCCGGCTTAAAGTCACAGCTCCTCCTGCTCCTCCTCCTTTAACAGTAGTTTATGTGCTGGCGAGCATGTGCCGATTGCAAGATGCATTTAAAATAAATGTTTATTTTGCAAATAAATCTGCTAGTCTTATTGGCTCAATGAGTTTGGAGCTATGCTGCTGATGCTGCTCCAGTTTCATGTTTCCAGAAAAAATAAAAAAAAAAAACGTTTCGTGCCCTTTTCGTTTACTTTGTGCATTTATAATTTACACTCTCCGCCTTGTCTAGCTTGTTGTTTATCTCCCGGCTCGAAAAGTTCGAACTGGGTAAAAGTTTTTAATGAGCAACGACGTTGGACGTCATCGTCTTAGCCCCGCTCCTCTATTCCACTATATATATATTGCACGCGGAATTTCTTGCTGAAATTTGTTGTGCATCTTTGCAAAATTTTGGAGTGAAATCGTGACAGGAAGATGGGTGGCTTTGCGGGGGACAAACAATTATCAAAAGCTTTAAGTTTTCCCAGAAATGTTATAATTTAATCATAAGCTTATCCAATTATGTTCGCAGTCAGCAATTTGGCCCATCTTAATCAACTGGGTTTTCACCTTGAGTATAATGCATTCGAATAACAATTGTACAACTTCCGTTAACAGGTTTATTTAATTTCCACAAAATTTACTAATTCATGTACCTACAAATTTGTATTAAATTGACTTAAATTGCTTTTAAGGAATTAATAAAGGATGATGACGTTAAAAATTGATTTAAATCTGTTTGTAAGTGCTGTTATAAAAAGCATTTGCTTGTAAATTGAAAAATTAATTCATGTTTTCCTTAAGCAAGGACATTTTTAATAAAAATCAAGGAATTTTGTTTTCTGGGTGTATATTTAAATTTTGTTTTAAATAAATCAAATGTTAAATATTTAATATATAAATCAATATTTCTTTAATATTAAATACATTTTATATATTCCTTTTGCTCTTGGCAACAATTTCTAGGAATCTGCTTTTGATGTACATCACAGCTTCAGCATTATACGAATCCTTCAAGATGATTTCCTGTATTTATCCTGCTGACTTTACATTTAATCATTCAGATTTTCAAACGGCTGGCTGCTGGGCTGCAGTCTTTATTTATTATGGTTGTGGGCGCTGCATGTTAATCTCCTAAAGTGTGGGTCCTGCATCCTTTTTTGGGCGGGAGGCGTACAAAGTGCATTCAATTCCAAGTGCAGGTCAAGTGGCCGCCAAAGCAAAAGCCGCAACGTGAGCACATGTACGAAAACAAACCACTCTCCATTTTGGTTGCTCTTTTTAGTCCTTTTTAGAACATCGAAAAGCTGCACATGCGCAAGGAGTAGAACGCTAGGGATTGGGTTTGGGGGAATGGATTACTGCTCCTGGAAGCATAAAGACAGCATTTGGTCTTCACATTGCCGGATATTTGCGGCATTTGTTCAAGGTGACGGGCGTCATCTTTGTTCACCCGGCAAAGCATGCAAATCTGTCAACAAATTGGCGGCGATTACAGACACTGGCCATTTCCCACTCCAACTGCCACTTCCACACCCACTCCCACACACAAGTTCCATGTTCGCCAGACCGGTCAACAATTTAGACATAATTTGAAAGCGGCTCTTCGTTCCACACGCAATGTCGCTTACGCAATGGCCACACACACATCCAAATTATGCATAATGGCAAGTGGGTAAGTGGGTAAGTGGGCTAGGGGGTAAGCCGCCAGGTGTGATGGCCTGGGAAATCCACCGTGCCCATGACCATAACCAACCCAAGCCTCCCCCACCATAAATTGGCATTAGTTTCGGGCGCGGTGGCCTTTTTTGGGTGCAACAACATCGCCGGTGGGCAGTCATCGGCAGCTTAATAACTTTTATGCGTGTTTGCATATCGCTCATGCATCGAATTTGATGGAAACTAGCCCCCCCTTCGACCAATGCACCGCAGGGAAGCATGAACAAATTTGATAGAAAAAAGTCGACCAAAGGGATTGTAGTTGGGGAATTCGATTAAAAACTGTACCAAATAAATTTCGATAGAGCTGATTGGTGTCCGAATCCTAAAGCGATTTCTTTCATTGCATTTTAGGTGGATCTATCCACCTCTTTTCAGAGTCAATAAAGAGTCAGCCGGGCACTTTTATAGCAGAATTTGAAGCATTTATTGTATTCCGCATTATGCATGTTATGGTAGGAGTGATACTTATCAACCTACTGTCACCAGCTTATGATGAAGTGTACGTTATGAGGGGTGTATGCTAAACAACTCCAGGTGTTTGACACTTTATGATGGGTACATGTAATGCTGAATATATTAGGCAACACCCAGGTGTTTGTGGTAAACAACAAGTAAGGAGCAAAATCAACGCCAATTTTATTGTTATGTTTAGTTGTTGGTTGGTTTACCGGGTTTTTGTTGACCCATTTCATGCATGGCCAGGGTGTCACTCTTATCTGACGTACAGCAAAATAAATATTGAACATACATCGTATTATATTAACATACATATTGGCATACGGACTTTACTTTTCCGGCACATTGCACTGCAAGCAGCTCTCCATGGTGGGCACATAGTCCTCGATCTGGATGGTCGTCTCGAAGAAGTTGTAGCGCAGATGAACCGCCGACGTGGCTGCATCCAGAATCCGCTTCGGATTGGCATTGGTGGCTGTGTGCGGAGAACGAATGGGGAATGGGAAACGATTAGGCGGTATCAGAGGGATAACACTAATGTGGGCGCAACTCCATTGCTCTCGCTCACTGGCTCTATCAAAATTGTCCACGCTTAAAAAGCCATTTCAAAAATAATTAAGCTAATTGCTCACTGTCTGCCCATGGACATGGCCCTGAACCAGGAACCAGGGGGTGCAGCTCTTGGGACAACAACAAATCCATTGGGATAATTACCCTCCATGCCCAAAAGCGCGACCCGCCAACACACCACCCAACTCGACAAACACATGCATCAGGGCCAAAAAGGCCACACACCCAACGACCTTTCTGGTCTGATTCGGTGTGGTTTGGTCGGCTCTGTGCTGTTTTGGCCTGTTTTGGTCGAAAGAGGCCGGACCGAACGGCCGGGGGCAGCTACTTACCAATGGCCAAATGCGCAGATAGCGCCACTTTATTAATGCTCAGCGCCCAGATGCGCAAATTGTGCACCCGCTCAACGCCCTCGATGCCTTGGAAAATCTGCAGCACCTCGGCATAGTGCATGTAGTTGGGCGTTCCCTCCATGAGCACCTGCGGAGATGAAAAGCAAACAGGTACAGCATTTTACCGGTGATCTGATAAATCTTTGTAAAATAGTCAAGTCCATCGAGTTAAATGCAATAATGGGTATTATTTTCCCTATTTAATTACTGTGAGGGCCTGTGCTTTAGTCAAATATATTTTTATACTAATATTTTAAGTAATTTTTATTAAATCAATGACATTCAATAATAATAAACAAAACAAATAATTGCGCGGCTAACTTTTTTATATTTACTATTAAGGCTTCCTGGGCTTTAGCACTATATATATTTATATATTAACGTTTGTAAGGTTTTCATAATAAGTGCAAAATTGTCTTATGGTGACAATTTGAGCTGCTAATGCAACTAGTTATGATATAAAAATTAAAGAAGTTCAAGAGAAGCAAACATTGTTGAATCAAATTAATGAACAGAAGCATGATAGAAGCAAATGGAAATGATAGTGCACTCACCAGCAGGGCATCCTTCATGATCGTGAACGTGGTGAAGAGGACGATGATAGAGAAGACGAATGTGCAAATGGGATCAACGATGGAGTACTCTGGCCAAAAATAGATGACGCCGGCGGCGACAAAAACGCCCAAGCTCTGGATCACGTCGCCAATCACATGGATGAGGGCGGCCCGGACATTCATGTTGACCGCCTCGCGTCCAGCCGCTCCGCCATGATGATGTGATCCGGGTGCTGTCTCGGCCAGAACGGCTGCAATTTCCAGGTCGGCGGCCGGATCCACCAGCTTGGCATTCTGGTAGGAGAACGTGGGCAGACCGCTACCGGGCAGTTCGGCGTCCTCGGGGGCAAAGGCCACGCCCCCCTCAATCCGCTGGTTGGGAGAGGCGGAACAGGGCGTGGACGTGGCATGGGCGTGAGACGGAATGGCTTTGGGCGTCTTCTTCTTTGACTTCTTGGAGGAGTCACCATGGCTGTGGCCATGCCCACCACCACCTCCTCCCAAACCATGCGAATGGCCGTGCTGCAGCTGGACGCCCATTCTAACCAAAAAAAAAAAAAAAAAAAAACGAATTGGAGAGAGAAATGGGAAACGTTATCACAAATATTTAATATGCTTGAAAATGTTGCAAGCTATTTTTGTGCCAGTTCTGCAGCCTCACAGATACACCGACACACAGAAACACAACCAAAAAATCCATCCATGTCTGGGGCACGTTGGCCTGGCCACAGTATGAAAACAAAAACGCACCCAAAATGTTTCGTTTCTTTTTATTTTTGTATGTTTTCTTTGCTGGCCAAAATGAGGGGAAAGGGGCTTTGGTACGGTATGCGGGCAACGCTTTTGCATTGTTTGGCATTTTATTTCAGCATTTTAATGCACCAACAACAGTCGCACCGCACCACACCGCACCACACAATCAGACAAACACACTCAGGTCACGGACAGTGGAGCCAAATGGCCGAGCAAGTCCCCAAATGGAATTAAACAGCAGGAAGCTGAATTCTTTAAATGAAATTTAAGGCTCGAACTGTCAGTTTTTGCACAAAGTCTGGATGAAAAAGATTACTCTGTCGATTTCGGAATGGACATGGCCTATACTGATAAGATCTGGAGTGTATATTCCCACAAAATATAAAATAAATATCAACAATGATATCAGAAAATGAAAAAAAGCATTGAGTAGAAAGCTTTTACAATGGTACTTTAAAATTACCTAAAGCACCTATTATAAGGGACATATTGATTAGATACAAAAATGTATATTTCCAAAAAATTTAAATATGAACAAAAGAAACCAGCTTTCATTAGCTTACACAATAAAACTTAAAAAAAAACATAAAGCGCACTCTATAAATTTAAAGAGCTAGTTAAAAGCTAAAATGGTTTCCTATATTTTTTTCTGCTGTCCCAAACAATTTGTATTAAAAACTGATTGCTTATAAAAAATATTCATAACAGTATATTATAATATTTTTGCAACTTTTATTTTATCGTACCTTATTTTTGAGACCCCTTTAACTAGACTTTATAGGTTGTGCAGTCATTTCCATAAATCAATTACGTTTTTCTTTTTAAAATAAATAATTTTAGGCACTGTACAGTGCGCCCTCTGCCCCTCCTCCCTCCTGAATCGTGAGTCCTGAGTCCCGAATCCTGGATGCTGTGTTCACTGTTCACTGTTTTGCTGCTCTGTGTACCGGAAGGTGTGTGCGAGTCCTGTGTACAAGTGTGCAAGTGAGCAAGGGATCCTCCGAAAGAGCCGACCAGCCAAACTAACCGCTCCCGTCCGATGATTCCGACCCCATCTGGGCTGCTCCAGTTCAGTACGTCCGGACACATTGCCGCATGCAAATACAAATGTATTGTCGAAAATGGCAACCGCTTGACCAGGCCAGCTACCCCCTTTCCCCATTTTCCTCTTCCATCCCCCCAGCTCACGGCATGGATCGGCAGTTAATAGCTCGGCACATTGACTTTTTATTCATTTAAAATGCTCCGACATTGCAGATTTATGGCTTTTCTATTTGGGGAAAAAGGCAATGGTCGACCGGCCATCCGACCGTCCGACATGCCAACGGACTGTCCGTTCGTCGTCGCCGCCGGCTGCACTTAGCCGGCTTTTTGGGAAACAATGCAGTGTGCCGGGCTTCAATAAATAAACTCGCATAAATTACGCACAACCATTGGCAGCGGAGGAGGGCAAACACAAAGCACAAAGTGAGCAGCCACGGAGCGGAACCCAAAAACGCCACCATCTAACCATTCCTATGGAATCTCTGCTGCGACGTCGATTTGCGGCTAATTGACGTTCTCAATTGGCGACTCAAAAGACATTTTGATGGTCTTCAAAACGACTTTCTGCTGGGTGGTGAGCTTTAAGTTCATTGATGGAAAAATGACTTTATTTATTTTACGCGAACGTTACGTAAACGTGTAAGCGACTTTTTTAATAAAAACTCAACTGGTTTCCATTTTAATAAAATGTTTAAAAAGTATAGATTGGTTTTTATATGGCGTCACAAACATTTTGGTTGGAAACAAAAAATTTAGCTGCTAAATATTAAATTTTAACGAAAATGTTAAATAGCTTAAGCTTAATAGCGACTTTAAAGCTTAATTAATACATAAATTAAGTTAATAAAACCTTTAGTGTTACATGGAAAAAGAAAAATTGCTGTTTTAGAACCAAAAACAAACTACTGAATTAGTGCAAAGGGAATATGCCAAGAAATTTAAAATTTCTTCTTAATAATAAAAGTATTCAAATGTTTAGAATTGTCAAATTTTATATGCATGTAACATTTTCAAACAATTAGCATCGCAATCAAATATTTTTAGTATTACAAAAACTAAGCATTAAATGTAATATAAATATTTTGTCATCTACCTGGTTGGCTCCCTAAGTGTATACAATCTACTCTAATAGTTCGTCTTAAAACAGTTTTTTTGGAAGATTTACAGGGACTGTCTCAGCACACCACTAGTCAAATAAATAACAGCTCTGGGTGTAAAAGTCGCGTTACGATGAGTGCAATAAACGTGTCCCGCTGTCGTTATCCCTGGTTTTGCTCCTTGGCTCCATGGCTCCTTGGCGCGACAGCTTAACGAGCAGCTCATCCGGGTGACAGACCACAGCGAAGACCAAGACCAAGACCAAGATGAGGACCGCCACCAGGACATCAAGACCAGGATACCAAGAGCAGAGCCCCGAGACATCCTTAGTGGCTGGAAATCCTGGCAACAGTCACATACGCGACCAAAGCCAGGGCGAGCTGAGTCAAGATATGTGCTAATATTTATGTTCCTGTCAATTAAATCAGGACATGGCATATACGCCACACAGCCGGAGCCGGAGCTTTCGCTCTTGGTCCTTGGGCACTGGCACTCTGCTGGGTCGCAGGACCTCCTGGCTCCCAGTTTTCCCAACTCCTGGTGTTGTCATGGTTGCTGTCGTTTGTTGGCCACTAACGAGGCGAGTAAAGATGCCGCAAAATCAAGGGGAAATGCTTCATTGCGCGCTACAAATTACAGCGACACAGTTGGAACAACAATGCCGGGTTGGCGATGTGGCGGATTGGCGGGGCATCCAGGGGAAAATGGGGAAAATGGGGGTTGCTGATGGCTGGGGAATGTCGCTCGCATTGGCATTTTTTGCGCTCGAGGACACACAACGCAGGAGGGGATTGGCGGAGTAGAAGGAGGAGCAGGAGCAGGAGCAGGAGGAGAAGTAGCCGGGGTAATGCCTCGGCAATCGGATGTTCAAAGTCGAAAAGCGTATGTGCTCGGCATGGAATCCCTAGCGCCAACATGGACCGCCATCGCTGACCGACCACGTGGCCACGCTGGTGAGGACCAAAAAAGGCGGAGGCAGGGTCCTAACAATTTGAGCTATTTTCGGAGACTGCAAAGTGCTGTTCTAGGCGTACCGAACAAACTGAATTCGGATTCAGATTTCATTCTTTTATATATTTTAAAAATAATTTTTCAATTTAATTTCTGTTTAAATTAATGAGTTTTCTTTCTCTTTTTCATATTTTGTTTATTTATTTATACCTATTTAACGTTTTTCATTTAATTTAAAATTTTAATTGATTACGAAAATATAAACTTTACTTTGTTTTTTGGGGCAGCTTTATAATAAAGTTGTCCATATCAGAATAATTATAAAATAGAAGAAGAAGTGTTAAATGAAGACTAGTATTATTTATGGGCTCTTATGGGAAAGTTTACCAAGAATATTTATATGGTCATTCATAGAGTTACCCGATTTTATGGCAACGAAATCGGTGATTTGCTCCACTGATTACTAATTTTATACTTGTGGCACTTAAAAAATAAGCTGATTTGGCACCACTACAACTCCTGCAACTGGATCTATGGTGCCCTGTACAATTTATTTAGTGCCCATCAACGATATGCCCCACACGAAGCGGCAGCCAGCGCTCCTCCTTCTTCACCACCGCTTATATTTATTTGCTCCTTGTTTTTCTCTCCTGGCGTCTCCTATTTTTTTGCTGTTTGACAAATTATGGCCACATTTGGCCTGGTAACTTCTTCGAACCGAACTGGCCGGGCCATCGCAGCGTGGTCTTAAGAAATTGAAAATGAAATTGAGTTGTCAGGCTAACAAGCTTTTGGCCAGCTTCGGTCTCAAGTGGCTGGCCAGAGCGGAGGATACGAAGAGAATCAGAGACGACCAGGTTCAATATTCACATAGCAAGCACTAAGCATATACAAAAATAAAATACATCAAGTGGAAGAAGCGAATTTATAAAAGAAAATATGGGAATTATTGAAGAATAAACAAAAGTTTTAGCAATTTTGTTGTATTGAAAGCTCTATCAATAACGCTGTATAATACCAACTAATAATGTTTATAACTACTTCTGTAAATACATCCTACTCCACAGTTAAGTTACTATGTTCGTTCAGAGTTGATGGAATGTTTAACAAATCCAGTTACCTTGGGGGTGAATACTAAATTTGTTTTCAGCTTAGGTTGCTCCCAAATCTATGAAAAGTTTTAAGTGCATATAAAACACGACTTTTATTTTGTTATAGAAACAAAATCAAAAATGCTCTTATATTAAAAGAAAAAAATTGGAAGGCAAACAGATTTCTGTCAGTTGACATACATCCTAAATTCTTTTTCTAGCATAGTGATAATTAATTGTAAAACATTCTAAAATTCGATTTAAATTTAAATTGAACACAACTCTGGTTCGTTTCAAATTTTTTTGATTGCTTTAACGAGAAACTTCGTTGTGCATTCATCCATCTGTCCTAACTGCCATTTCCATTGCTCCACACCCTGCTTGTAATTGCTTTAGCACCTCGCTGCCGCAGTAGTTTTCCCCGCTTTTCCCACCAGAATAAACCTCTCATATTTGCTCTCGCTAATGTCCCACTTGCAGTTTAAGGTCAGGCCTTATGAGAGTTCGGGTGTGTTTGCGTACAGTAGAAACTCTAAATATGGATTTTTGGGGTCTACATTGGTTTTAAATTAAATTAATTTATTAAGAGATTTTTTTACATAAACTTTGTAGTATAAGTCGACAGTCAGAAGGAAATGCAATGATTTAGGCGAGCTGAAAAAAAGCTGTTTTCCATGTTTGTAAAACTTATATCATTACCCAAAGCCAAATATATGATTTAATTCAACTATGGTTCTATTTTTAATGTTGCCAAGTTAGAGAACTTAAAGTGAGTTTATTTAATTAAGACCACTGAAATTGACATTTTCTTTATAACACTGATTCTGTGGATTGCAATAAAATAAGGGGAAAAATAGATATTTGGTGCTGACTAAGAATTTCTCCATACTATTTGAGGCTTTTCCGTGGCTTTATTAACGTAAAGGTGTCTGAGCATTAAACCAATAATGGAACCTTAATGGAACTTTGTTAGTTACAAGTAATTAGTTTGAGAAAAAAGCGAAATAAAGTGAGGATCGAAGGTGCGGTTCATCGGATGTTATATTACAGTACTTGGGTTAGTTTACTCTCTGTTCTTCATTCTGTTTCTCCGGTTTCCCCGCTTTTGCCCTAATGGGCGTTTTAACGATGTGAAGTCGACGGACGTCGTTGCCGCCACTCAAAAGTTAACCCAACAACAGCACACAAAGCGAATCCGGAAAATTCTGTGCGTGTGTGTGTGGGTAAAGCGCTTCCGAGCTATTTTCGGCATTGTGCTAATTGAACTAAAAACTCGCAAAAAATAAAATCCAGAGAGCGCTCAACAACTAAATGAAACTAAGTAAAAAGCCTTCAATATAACAACGAGCGCAAGCCGGACTGAAAATAGTTGAAACTTGCTGCAAACTCGTTTGGCCAAATGCATAACGGTAAAAGGTGGCCATTTAATTCCGTTGTTCGAACACAGGTCGAAGGTACACAGAAAAAAAATGTTTCCAATTGAAAAAAAAAAATTTCCTTTAGATAACAAAAAAGTGTTGTATAAAAAAAAAATATATATTATATTATATAAATAGAACTCTCTATAAATTTTAAGGAATCAACACAGAGAAAATAGTCTAATTAATAAATAAATTCAATCCAAGTGGTTCAAATAAAAATGATTTAAAAAAAATTTAAAGTTTTACGTTCATTTATTTTGTGTTAGAAATGGTTGAACAAATCGCAAATCTAAAGGAATAGCTACTATACTTTTGTTCTATGTAAAAGAATCTGGAGGAAGCAGCCAGTATTGACTTGGCTTAACTTCCTACTTTTATAGCAGCTTCCAAAGATGGCCTCAGCCACGCCCCCCGGACTGCGCCCATTTCGGCCAAGTCCGGTCATCTTCTTCTCTTTATTCCTGGCCAAATCTGTAAGCCAGAAGAGCTGCTACTGCTGCACGTTTTTCACAATCAATTCACGTAATCAAACAATTCAAGTGGCAAACACTGAAAATGCCAACGTCAACTGGAAAATTTTTGCGCTACCGCCCAAGTACCAACAAGAGCAACAACAACAATAACAGCTGCAGCAACACTCGTGCAGGAAAATAGGTGAGCTGAGGTGGGTGTGGCATGGGGAGGAGGACGCTGGGCGGTGGGTGGTGAATAGAGGTAAGGGAATCATAACTTGTGTGTGTAAGCTAGCTCGGCATTGAACGTTGCGATTTATGCGCCAAAAACTATGCTTCGACAGCCACATGAATGAGCATCAATGGGAGCAAGGAGGCTGTGAGGGGGGGGCGTGGCAGGACAAGGGGTGAGATGCTTGCAAGTTGTGCACTCTTCAAAATCAAAACAAGCGAAGCGATTAGTAAATAAATGAACGAACTGAAAATGCCCTTCAAAAACCACTAGCCATTTTCTACTTTAATGAAATAAGTATAATAAATATAGAACTATTTTTTTTGTTTGTTCCTCATTAAAATAAAAGAACAGTCTGCTTTCTTATAATCAAAAGCTAGAATCAAAATGTGTTGCATACTATTAGGCGTTACCAAAGTAAACATTAAAAGGGTAAACTTTAAAAGTATCTCTTTCTTTAAAAAAACCTTTAAAGTTTTTAATAACAGAGATTTTAGTTACCTTAGAACTTTTCTTTTTAAATGCTGTTTAATAATAACAAATTTAATCTTTACTGTTCTTTTTTTGGAATCGTGAAAAAAGTCAATTGAGATATTACAATTATATTAAATAAAGCGTTAAGCTTTGCCGGCCTCGATTTATTTTTAGCTACCCGAAGTTAAAAAAAAAATCCAGAGGCGGGAGAGGCATTATCGAAGCCCCTTTCGATGGCACGTTACCCCATTCCGCCTAGAGAATTTCCCACCTTTGCTGCTGGCCAAAGCAAACACCAGCAAACTCCTCGACGCTGCCGCTTTTGGCTTTTGTTGACGCCAGAAAAAAGGAAGTAGAAAAAAGTAAAACGAGAAGAATTTCTAAACTTGTGGAAAAAGTTGTCGCTAAAATGTGGAGAAAGTTGCCGCAACAACTGGCGGATACGTAAGGGAATACCATCCAGGAATCGGAGTGGGTCTGGGATCGGGAGACGTTTGCAGTGTGCACCGTGTTGACCCATTTGGTGGCCCATGCCTGGGACAAGTTGATTGCGGCAATTGCAATTGGAAAACTGCCCGGGGAAAACGGGAAAACTTTGCAGTCGCACGGGCGAGCAGACACAATGCCATTTCCCCAGACGGCCAGCAATCAAAGATCTGCATATCAGGGGGCAAATATCACATAGTAGGCATATACTCACATGACATTCACCAATATGGCCAAGCCCGATGTGATCAGCATGATCTTCGCATTCACCTCGTAGTCGCCGCTAATGAGACGTCCGATGGCCAGCCAGACGAGAATCCCCGTGATGACCCAGATCATGAAGACGGAGGCCATGGCGCCAATAACCTCAGCCCGATACCAGCCGAAGGACATCCTGTCAAAGATAAAAGGGAGTCAGCTTAATTAATGTGAAGGCAGGTAAAGATAATGAGTCTGCGATGGGGGGGGGAGAGTAATTTGCACTTGCCACACGATAACGTTGGCGAAACTTTGGTAGTTTAACGAGAAAATAACTTGGCAAACTAATAGTTTGTTAGGTATGTATACAAGTATTGCACTTTAAATGCACCCCTAGAGCTTTAACATTCAAAAATTCTGTATAAATAATTTGTTTGATTTAAACATAAAATTCCTTAAGTTGTGTATATTATAAGATAGTTAGTGTTTCAAAGTGCTCGATTCAATTTAATTGTTGCCTTACAGAAAGATAAGTATTCCTCAACAAGCTAGCATTTCACCAAAAATGATTAAAATGATTGTTAGTGTTTCAAACTGATTAGAATCAACTTAAATGTTGTCTTTCCCTTCACAAGATAGAATTTTACAACATAAATTAAACATCTGTTTTAGGTATCAACTTCAATGTTGTCTTTAAGCAAGTTAAGTTTTTCTTTACAAGCTGCAATTTTACAACATTGAATGGGATTTCTATTTTAAATAAATTTGGCAAGATATTTAATTTTTAATTTACTTAACATCAAAGCCAAACATTCATCGGTCAGAAGTGACAAGCTTTCAAATAACCGAAATAAGTCGCCAGCAATAAAATGATATCCTCTTCAAGATGTCAAGAGCTGAACTTCTTAGCCACAAAGCGAAACACAAATTGCTGATGACATGAAGAGCGGAAAGTGTGGGGTAGTTAAAAATTAACATGAGTTGATAAATGTGACCAAAATTTGTCAAATGCTATTTTAATTTGAGTTCGTTTTGGGGCGCGGCTTCATCCCACCCCGGATGATAACTTTTTGGGGAAGAAGAGGGGAGTGTTTTTCTGAATTTCCCTAATGTAATGAGCGTTTTGCATGTGCTCTCCCCTCTTGCTTATTTTTCGTGTATTATTATTTTGTTTTTTTTTTTTTTTTTTTTTTGCTCGGGTCAAAGTCAACACCTGAACGGCGACGTCGACCAAGTCGAGGGTTGTTCAATTAAAGCCCAACCCAGACCAGAAAGCAAACCAAGCCACATCAGGACGAGGACGAGGACCAAAAACCAAGGACCAAAAACAGGACCAACCGGTAACCGACAGGTGGGCAGGGTGACTACCACTCTCGTTATAAAATTGAAATAATGGCAAAAGGCAACAATTTTGCCAGCCTGCTAACTAATGCGATGCCAGAAGGCAGCAGGCAGGCAGCAGGCAGCAACAGCAACGAATGTCTCGCCATAATAATACAATTTAATTTCCAGCAAACATCCGTCGTATCCTCACCCCGAAAACCCCTCTTCCAGCAGCAATGTCAATGTATGGCGGAGCTTTCTATATGTGTATATACAAATATAAACGCAAGTTGGGGCCTTGCAGTTGGCGTTGCAAGTGCAGCCATTTGCTTAATGACCGCCTGCTGCTGGCGGCCCACCCACTCGTCCTTCGTCCTTCGTCCATAGTCCCTCGTCCTTTCTATTTCCCAGCGGAGGGGCTGCTACATCGCTACCTCAATGGCGGTTCCGGGCACACTGGGACCGGCTGCGATAATTAAAAGAAAGAGCCAAAACACTTAATTGGGATTAGCGATAATGAAATACGCTAGTGTGCTGCGTATGCCAAACAAACATTTTGGCACCAAACAAAATGAGTTATAAGGAATATAAGCAAAAATAACAAAGTTATATACAATTATTAAGCTAAACATAATATTCCACTGATGCTTAAATAGTTTTTAATGGTTAAGACCCGATTTCCCTACTCCGATTCTTTGGAGAATTTAAATTTGTTATTTAGCTAAGAAATAAGAAGCTTTAATTGGTTTTTTTTATGTACAGGAATTTTATGGGATAAATAAAACAATAATAACAGAAATTCCTGCATAAAAAATTGCTTTTATACATTTATTTTATTTTGAGAACTTTAAAAAATAGATGTTTAAGTGTTTTACTTAGTTAAATAAAGCTTTTTGAAAATAGTAGTTCTAAACTGATCATAACTAATTTAATAAAAGTATTTGCAATATATTTCTATGGGTTTTACTTATTAAAATAAACCTTTCTTAAAATAGTATTTGCATGAATATAGTATAGCTGCTCCTAAGTACTTTAATTAAAGTATTTGCAAGGAAATGTACTAGCTGTCATTCATTCGCACGCAAAATACCATATGTAATAATTGAATCAATCCACTGTACCGTGCTTAGTTTTACCCTCGTTTTGCACTTCGTTTTCTGCGTTTGCCTTTGCAATTGTGCAAATGTGTTTTGTTTTGATAAATTAGGCTTGTCAACTCGGCAACGGCAGCTCGAGCGCCAAAATGGGTGGTGGTGCGGGCGCAGGAGCCAAAAATGAGGTAGAGAAGGCTGCGAACCGCACTGAAACCAAACCCGGCCAGAGGACCAGTCCCAAGAAGAGTGGCATTCAGCCATACTGAGACTGGGACTGCTGCAACATGCAGCAGCAGCAGCAACAGCAGCAGAAACAGAAACAGAAGCAACATCAACGCACCGGAGACGAAGGAGACCAAGTCTGAGAGTCTGGTGGCTGGAGCGAAATTTACAAAATTACCATGCAACACGCTTGAAATTGCAAAAGTTTTTCATTATTCACTTTGTGGCTGCAGTCGAGTCGTCGAGTGAGTGAGATTTTTGCATGAATGAGCAGAACGTGCCGCTTTGCCTCCCTCCTTCTAGTTGAGCCCAAGATGGATGCTGTGGCGGAAAAGGGGGCCGGAATGGGAGGTAGGGCGTGGCAGAAGCAGGGGCAGAGGCAGCAGGCAGGGGAAGGTCCTCCCAAAGACCAATTGAAAAATGTGCAACGGCCAAATGTACAGTGCGCAGCAGCAACAGCAGCAAACAGTGCTGCCACGAAATAAAATTAAAAAAAAGGAAATGATCTAACAAATATTAATATAAATCATTAAAAAAATAATCTCTCAAAAATTGTAAATGGAAAATGTGGGGTTAAAATATAATTACTATTAGTTTTGCACCTAAAGCTTAATCTTAATTTATATTTTTAAGCGAATATTGCAATTTTTGAAGCATTTTTATTATTCCTTTTTTTTTTGTTTAATTTATTACTGTACCCATAAAAAAAATCTGCGAGAAGGGGTTTAAAGACTTTACCAGAGACAAACAGACCTGTTTTATTTCCTTAAGCTTCTGAACTTGCTTATGATTTCAGAAGTTGATTATCCAAATAAAATGTATCTTGCAGATTTACCTAAATTTTAATTGGCTATAAGCATATTATTTCATTCATATACGAAAAGACAAATCGTCATCTCTTTTAGCCATAGCAACAAAAGCAGCCACAGACGCTGGTGGAAGGCACTGAAAATTTGGAAACAGGCTTTTCGCCTAATTAGACGATGGCGAATGGGAAATGCAGGCAGCAGCGGAGGATATGGAGGATATAGAGGATGGCCAAGTCGAGCGACAGAAATTATGGAGGCTGCGCAGCGTTATAAGAGTGGAATATAAATTGCAGGGCAATGCAGATACACTCGTTAGAGGGGGAATTTTCTCTAAGAGCTGCTTTTCTATGTACTCATAAAAATAAGGCATAAAAGCCATACTACAGTTTTACTAGCCACTATCTAGAATTACAATTTCTAGCAACAGATAGAAATTATTAAAAAAAATGTATATACAAACTAAAAATTCCTAAATTAAAGTTCTGACTTATTAATTACCACTGCATAACTTATTATGGAACTAAAAAATAAAAGTGTTCCTTGATGATTTTAACTAACGATTCGATTTTTAGATATTCGATTTTAGAAAAAACTTAAAGCAATTGTTTTTAAGCTCCCCTGAGTCGTCTTGGAATGGCTATACCCATTCTGTGGATATTTGGAGAATAGTTTTATGTTATTTCCCTGAGCGGACTCTCAAGTCACCCGGTTCGGTGATAAAGAAGGACGAACACGAACCATCTCCGAAAGGAGTTGGCAGCAGCAGCTACTATAAAGGGGACAAAAAGAAATGCGGAAAAGATTGAAACTTTACGTTTTATTGATTTCCACCACCCCCCTTTTTACCCCCGGCAAACGACTTTTGGCAGTGTCTTCATTTTGGCTGCGAGTACTTACCGCTGCGTAGATGGGCGTCCGGCAATCCAGATGGCAAACAACGAGATCATAAAACTGGCGAAATCGGTGAGCAAATGTGCGGCGTCTGTTGCGATGGCCAGACTGTTCGATAGGACGCCACCTGTTTCAGGTGAAAAGTTCCGGGGTGAAAGTAAATAAATGCGCAAAAAATTAACTCGCCAATCTGTGGGACTTGTGGACGTTGTTTGGGGGCTGAACGGGAGAAGGTGACAATCCCCTCCGCCGACGGCTTTAGTCGGAAAAACATTAAAGGAGCGGGTAGCTGGAGATCTCTTTCACTCTATTTTCCATTATCGCAACGACGATTTCGATTTGAAAGCGAACGAAAAGTGCAAAGCGAAGGGCGCAAAAAGGGGGAGAAATCCTTTGGCCCAACAACTGGCCACCACCTCCATTTCGTCCTTGTTCTCTGGGTCCTTTTGCCAAGCGAACATTGTAGGTAATTGCAAAGCGATTAACGGCAACAGCCGTCGAAGCAGCGACGACATCGTCGTCGCCACTCGAAAATTAAATGTTTATTGTATAACCAACCAACCCCAGTGCCGTCATAAATGGAGGTGGGTTGACAGGGTTGACAGGGCAGACAGTAAGCCCTTCCGGTCGCCATATTGTTGCACTTCCGGTCCTCAGTTTTTAATCGTCTCCTTCGTGTCCTTTTTTTCTTCCTCTTCCTTCCCTTAATTCCCCTCGTTGCCCGCATTGTTTGACTTAACTTTTTGTTCGCCTTTCGCTTTTCGCTTTTCATTCTTTACGTTTTGTTTATTTGTTGTCTCAGATTCTCAGAGGTGAGTAAAATTAGTTTGGGAATTGAGAGGCAGACAGAAAGAGAAATGGCAGAAAAAGGAATTGATGGCGAAAGAGTCCTTTGTAAGGATGAATGGAGAGCAGAAGGCCAGGGCAAAGGTTTTCCTACTACAAATATTAACTCAACTCACCCACGATTTCGGCAATCATGAAGACCAAACACAGAATGCTGGCTATGATCAGTTTCCGGCGCGCCTTCACGTCCACGCCCTCACTTCGGGCCCGATGGCAATGATCCCGGACTGAAACATAATTAAATACAAGAAACAAATTAGAAAATATTAAAAATTTTGAATAAAACTCTTCTTCTTTTAAATTTAAATCATATAATCATAAATAAATAGAGTATAAAATCTATTGCAAAGCCCAAAACTTGTAAAACTTATACTTAATCTTAATTTTTTTTGTTAAGTGCATTATAATGCAGGATATGCAATATATATTCATTGCCAGGACCATCTAGACATGAAACAGTTAAGAATTCACTCTTATGATATATGGTTTCATAACAAAAAGCAATGAAATTTATGTTAGTTATAAATTGGGGGATTATTGTATTGACTAGTATTGACTAGTATAATTATCATATAACTGTATACGATTAATAAAATCCAGCTTCTTGTAATTAATTTTTGGAATATCTTTCAAGAAGCTGACAACTTAACTCCTTAAAATTTTTTTGATATTTTTAAAGAAACCAATTAATTAAATAATTTAACCAATTAGTTAAATTGCACAACAAATAATATTGCATGCCAATTACAATACAAATTTTTTCCATAATTAAATTTCCTGCTTGCATACTCGTTAAATTTAACAACAATAAATCACATGACCAATGTGTACTCATTTAATGCTTGTTTTTTTTTAGTTCAATTATTTGTTGTTGCTTACATGAGGTCTTAAAACACTTGATGCCCATTGAATAAATTTCATGATTTTCTTAACCCCTGCTTAAGACCATTGCGTCTTTTTTTTTTTTGCGAAAGCGTTAAATTAACAATGTGCCACTGCACACACATGCAAAGCGCATTTGGCTCCCTTCGGGGAATAAGTTTCCCTTTGGCCCATCTGTTATGCCGCTGAGCATGCAATACATATTTACAAAACAGGCATTTAAATTTATTTAACATGGTACGTGAATAATGACCACCAGCGCAGCTCCAGCTCCAGCTCCTGCTCCTGGCCCTGCCACGCCCCTCCCATAAGGACCCGGTATATGTGTATGGCCCATTTCCGGGAGTTTCTCCGCTTGTTTTTTATGTTATTTCTCCATATTTTTTTTTTCTTTCTTCCCCTGGTTTTATTCATTTTGGGTGTCAGTGACAGGCGAAAGTTGGTAGTTGGTAGTTTGTAGTTGCTTGGCTCGGTTTGGTTCGCCAGTTGGCTGGCTAGCTGGCTGGCTGGCTGGCTGGTTGCTCTTGGTCGGCTAGGAGCAGTCTATTAAATACTTTATTGCATTTGTCGCAGCCGTATTTCATGCTTTGTCATTTCCGCTGCATTTTCTTTCTCTTGCACTTGCTCTGGTCGCCCACTCCTCGAACTTTCCTTGCAGCGCAGCTTTCCATTGTCCGGAGCGGGAAAAGCGGTAAAAGCGGTAAAAGCTACAGGAGCACATACATGTCCGTATGCATATGCTCCGTTGGTTGGCTGCTCTGCAAGTGGAAGCCATAGAGATGAGCATGTTCGCGACAATGTAGCTCTTATTAATTTTTAATAAATATATTTTTTTAATTTGAGCTTATTTTAGTTTTACATAATACTTTTCATGATAAATAGAATTTAAGCTGAGAAAATCTACCATTATATTGGTATCAATATGAGAGAAACCTTTAAGCTCTTAATTAATACGCTATTTTTTAAAATACACAAATTTATGGAGTTCGTTTGCATTTTAGTTTTAAATGACGTAAGCACAACTAATAATTTGTCAAGAGTTTTATAAGATGTTAGCCAATAAATAGCAACATCTGATAAGTACGAATTTTTTTAATGAATTCCATAATCTATCGAAGTCATGGGTAAACTTTTAATGACATAAATCGTCCATTATCGATGTATACTAATTTATCCAACTTTCAGTGAGTTTATGGTTTACCGTGCATGACAACCAACATGTGGAGTCGCTCATCGCTGACAATGGTGGCGTTGTGAACGCGGTTTCTTCATTTGAATCCAGCACAAGGCCACCAACGCCTGGCCTCCGTCTGCTTCCTGCTCCTGCTCCTGCATCCTCTGCATCCTCCGCACCCCCTGCATCCTGCACTTTCTTCGCTTCCACATGCTGGCCCACACACTCACACAATGGCAGTAACAATGCCGGCAGCGAAATTAAATTCCAGTGCATAACCAAGGCTCCGCACTTTCGGTGCAAGAGCCACTACAACCTGCCACCTGCAACCTGCAACCTGCAACGGCGACGATTGTGGCACGTGGAAATTTCACCTATTAGACCCGCATCCCAGGCTCACTCTTTTCGGTCGGAGGCAGCCACTGAGCCACTGCAGCCACTGTAGCCACTGCAGCCAGCTGATGCATAAGAATCGTCATACTTGCAATTTAAACAACTCCGATTCATCTGCATCTTTAATTGGTCGCCTTGGACCGTTCCGTTCCTTTCCTTTCCTTGCCGTGCCGAAACGTAACGTTCGCCTTGTTTGTTTGCGCAATGCGGAAAGTATGTTGGATGCCCGAGCAACTGAGGTTAATGTTGGATACTGGGTGGATGGTAGATGGTGGATATGGGCGGCACATTCACTGATGTGCTCCTTCGCATTCGCATTCGCCACCTTCATCTTTACATCCATATCTGGTTGTGCCATGGCAACAATTGTACTGTGTACTTGTTCTTATAAATAATTAATGGAAGACGAGGGCAAAGGCATCGGCTGGGGAATGGGAATCGGAATGGGAATGGCAGTTTGATGGAGACGAACCCAAACTGGATGCCAAGTGCAGGCGCACAAGCATTAATTGGATAGAAATAAATACGCGACAAAAGGCATTCCATTATGTGCAAATATCAATGCATTGTTACGGCAGGTGACAAGAATGTTCGTCAACTGGGATTTAAAGACCATCCGTCAATTACAACATTTAAAATTCACTAATTGAAAGTCTAAAAAGTGGTATTGCTGGTGGAAAAATTCTCAGTAATTAAAGTCTAAAGGAAAATGTATTGCAAGACTATTAAATTAATAGTTCTTTATTTAACAACGTTATTTTCTTATTTTTTTATTTTTAAAGCTTCAAAATATTATGGAAAGAAATTAATAAAATATACGGATTTTTCATTTGTAAAATACATGTTTAAATTTGACTTTGCTTTTGTTGCTCGTAAAATTGTCTTTGCCATTTTTTATAGAGTAAAAAAATTATTGAAATATCTAAATCCAAAGGTTATCCATTATTTCAGATGGCTCAATAAAATCTGTATAATTTTGTTTACAAGTTATGGCACTTGCATAAAAGTTGTTACATCTCTGGTAAGCACACAGGCAGTCAAAAGTTGGAAAAGGCCTATCCGCATACCAACTTCAAGTCTACATCTTAATATAAAGCTATTTAGAGACTTAGTAGCCAAGTTTGATTTCATTCTCAGCAATGACTTTGAGCTAAACGTGTGTTTTTGATATTTGATATGCTAATTGGATCTAACTCCGCAGCTGAGATACTTTGGTTATGTAGCATCCTCCGGCCTAATTAGCAAGTTACCTGTGCTCAGTTCCGCCTCCCTGAGCTTGAGCATATCATCCATAACCCGGAATCGGAATGCGCGCCAATAACAATGACGAGGTTCACTCGGGGGAACAATGAACGGACCTATTCGAGCTGCTCAGTATTCCAGCATTTGCAAATGGTCCCATCTGGAGCGCGTTTAACGAACGACTAACTAAGGGCCAGAGCAAATCAAAGCAGCTGCATCGACATCCGCATCGAGCAGCTGCACTTGGCTAGTCAAGCCATCTAATGGGAGTTAGTAACTCAAACTATGATTGAATGCACCGAGCGCCCCAAGACGATTACATAATATACTATAAATCTATCTGCTTGTGCCAATAAACGGAATATACGACGGCAGAAGCTCTCGGAGGCGGTTCCACCTCGTCTAGACGCAAGTTAATTTCATTTCGAGCTCGCTCGTCTGCCAATAAATCGAATCATCACCAAAAATGGAGAAATAAAAAAGGAATTCTTTATTGGACAATTGCGACTATCGGATGGCCATTAATCAGATCACGGAATAGTTTTAACTAATAAATAACGAAGAGACTCTAAAATTCATGTAGTATCTGAAAAAGTCATGTTTGTTAAGAAAACTGGTATTATAGGGTTATACCATTAAAGTATTGAAAATATAGTGAAATTTAAAAACTTTAAGTTAGATAAAAATTTGATATTTACTGAATAAACGAAGGGAAATAAATAAAATACAAATTTGAATTGTTAATGAAATTTACCCAAACAGATATATGCAATAGGTCTTGTTTTATCGCTTCCGAAATTCGTTAAAATTATAAAAGAAATTTTAAGAAATTCTTTGATTTGATAAATGACTTATCTAAATATGGACAACAAATTCACCTACTTATACCAGAACTCAATTTAATTACAGAGACTAAAGGGTATAGTCTTAGTCGATGTAAGCCACCATTGATTTGCTCCTCGAACTTAAACTATATTTGCCAAGTGTAAAAATGGAGCACCTAGGAGATTCTGCAGAGGAAATTAAAATATAAACTTGACATAGCCACATCGATTTCCAGCCATTTGACCCTGCGTAGACATATTCTTTAGAGGGTGGGGGGAGAAAACGAAAAATGAGCCAAACATTTATTTGGTTCATCGACGTTGTCGTACGAAAATGACGCTGGCTCCTCTGGCGATTTATGACATATGGCTATGTTGGGATGTGGGCTTTGGATGTGGGTTGTGGGATGTGGGTGGTGGGTGGTGGAATGCGGTGGTCTACTCCCAGCAGCGGTGTGTCAGCAAAGAGCATAAATTTTGATTATGCCACAGATGCTGAAGGGGGGAGGAGGAGTAAGGCTCCACCAGTTCCACCAGTGCCACCAAACATAATTTGGTTTGCCGACCTCGGGAATCATCAGCTGATTGATGACAGAGGGGCCCCAAAAGTGTGGTGGGTGGAAATGTGGCTTCGAGTAGGTGGTAAGTTGTTTGCTCACCATATTCGTGCAGCTTTTCCATGCGGCTTTTATCCAGCGAAGTTGCCGCTTTCTCATACAGCCGGGCATCATTCATTTCCGATGATTTCCGTGCCGTCTGCCAATTAGCGAGCGTTTACCCGATATTATATACAAGCTGAATGCACGGGGAAAATTGCAGAGAATTTTCCGATTTGCCGCGAAAGAAAATAGCGATGAAAAAACGACAACGACAACGACAACGACAACAACAAACAACCGCTTAAGAACAATCAAACATCTACGATATTGCGCACACACACACAGAGCCAAATAAAGCACGAATATAACAATGTGAAAACTAATTTGGTTGATTCTCGTCGTTGTCGATTTTGATTTGTTTGCATTTGACTTTTGGTGCAAAGTGCCGAGCTGCCTGCTGCGTTTTCTTGATAATTTATGAATGACTGCAAATTGCTGCGAGCTGGGTAGTCCGCCCTGATTGAAAGCGACACGAAAGTGCCCCGCAGTTTGTCACAGTCGCCTCATGTGGCGCCCCCTTAACCCCTTAACCCCTTGTTGCCCCAGCCTCGCTCACCTTCAACGTTGTTGGACCGCCCGTGTAAACAAAAAATTTGCGCAGGTGTTGAAGGTGTTGCCGGGTGATTGTTGTTGCCATTGCCATTGCCGATGGCTCCGTTCACACCTGGTTGTCCCTGCTCCAGCAGGTGGAACGAGGGAGCCGTGCCATAGTTGCTCCGACGCGTCCGATCCGAGTTCCGTCTGTAAGAAAATAATATGGTGTGGTTATTTCACTTTACTATAGTCCAACTCGGAAATTCATTGTCCCACTGAAAACAGCGTGCAGCCTAGCGAGAATTAATTAAAATGACGTTAAATATTAACAACAATACAAAGCTCACAATTGAGCAGCATTGAATGAGAGTTCACTTTTGAGCTATCACAGCTTGTAGTTCGGCGCATATGGGAAAAATAAAATACAATGCTGAATCCTTAATTGGTTTTAAAAGGCAAAGCTCTTCGAAAAGAGTCTTAAATATTTAATACTTGATTTTATTCTTGTTCTGGCAAATTTCTTTGATATTTACATTATAATAAACATATTAAATTACTCACAGTTTAATTTTTAAGCCACTTATTGGGGAGTTGTACAGCTAACAATTTTACTTTAAAAATGTATAAAACAAGTTATCAACTTATATTTAGGTTCAAAATTTGGGATACATATTTTTGATTTACAGCTTTTTGAAGTACTAAAACATAAAAATATATTTTATAAATATCCTAGCTAAACTCATTGGTATTTTAAAACTATGCAATGAACTATAAATTAGATTAAGGATTAAAATTGAATGTACAGTGGGTCATTAGGTATATTTAAAGGATTGAGGGACAATTTATAATTTGTTTGTAAAATCTCAATACACACGTGTATTTTCCAAAATCAGAGTCAAGAATAAACTAGAAATGCATACCCAAGGTCCACTCGAATAATTGTAAGTTATTTCCCAACTAATTCTTTAATTAAAATTTGCCATTCGTTAGAGTTTTTGGCTCAACTTTTTTTTTGTTACCCAAGTTTCTATAGAAATGTACTTGTTTTCCACGGTAAACAAGTGAAAGAAGCCCGAGAAGAATGAGAAGTAAGTGCAGCCGCAGCAGGAAAAGTTTTTTCGGGGAAGCTTCAACTCCAAAAACCCCAGCAAAGAATTAAAACGTACCGTTGTTGCCGGTGCCAACGGAAAACTGCGGCATTTAAGCACACTCAATGTGTTGAGCACTCCCCCAAACAAAAGAACCCCACCGACCGTCCATCAGCAGGCAGTTCCCACTGTAATGAGCTGATGCTTCGGAAAACGAAGTGAAACGCGCTGCAAAAAGGGGTTTTTTTTTGTTTTTTGATAGGTGCTAAAATGAAAAGTGCTGCGAAAAATTCAATTTGAAGTTTTGTTACTTAACGCAAACTACGATGACTACTTAAAGGCCACGCCCACTTCGCTGCCACCTCCGCTGCCGCCTTCATCAGCAGCACGTGTGTATGTGTGTGTGTGTGATGTGCCCGTTGATAAGTTTTCCCTTCCATGTGTGGGTGTGCCAGAGCAAGTGCGCGTAATTTTTACTACGAAAAGTGCAAATGGCGCTAAACTACTTGCTCTGCAACTTTTCAACGCAATTGCACAAAGAAAAAAAATAGTGGGGGAGAGAGAGGCAAAAAAAAAAAAATAATAATAAAAAAACAGAAAAATACGTTAGCTGCCCCGCTTTAAGCTTTCCATCCAACTTTTCGAGGCCTCTGCGCACCTTGAAAATCCCCAAGACCCCCAAAAAGCCGAGAAATCCGAGAAAACCGTCAGTTGTCGCCGCTCCCACGCGGTCCGCTCTTACGCCTATTTAACAAATCAGCAGCTCATTTGGCGCTTTATGTTAATTTCGTCCCAAAAGAGATTTTATTTTTGGCCAACTTTTCTGCACTGGAAAATGGTGAAAAACTTTTGCGCAAGAAGTCAAAGGCGATAGATAAACCGTTTTACCGCCCAAAAAACTTACTTGGCAATCGGTGTATCCTCGTTCTTGGACATTATTTTCTGAACTTTATTTCTGTATTCTGTTTTTTTTTTTCAACAATTAAAGACACTAACACTCGACAGCAGACACGTTACAACACAAGATTCGAGCGACAAGTGTTTTCTTTATACGCCATCCCATATTCTCCACTTCTCCAGAGGCTGTGAATGATAAGATCCAAGCAAACACCAGATAAGCGCGATTAAACTTACAACTTTTTTTCGGACCGAAGAGAGAGCCGAGTGCAATGCCTGTGTGTTTGTTCTTGGAGTGGTGGAGATGGGTGATAAGGTGGATCAATCTGGAAGGTGGTTAAACTTAAGGGAGAGGAAAGGAGAGGACAGGAAAAGAGAGGAAGAGATGGAGATGGGTGATGAGGTGGATCAATCTGGATGGTGGGCAAACTTAAGGGAGAGGAGAGGAGAAGAGAGGCAGAGACGATGCCCGCTCTTATCAGCAGGGTCTGTCAAGTCTGTCAAGTCTGTCTAGTGTGAATATAGCACACGGACCGTTCAATTGATGGTAACGTGCGGTAAGACAACCAACCAACGGGACTTGTTTACCTTAAAGAGCGGACTCACCTTACTGGTAGATAAGAACATGAATGGGAAAACACCTCCAAGAAAACACCCACAAGAACTTTTAATTTGGCGCTCTTTCGAAGGGCTGCCAGATAAAGGGAAAAAGGTTTGCATTTAGTATATTTTTGGTATCCATCGTGGTTTTTAAGTGGAAATCACGAGAGACTGTGCCAAATTCGTAGGTGTGACACTTGCTAGGCAATTTTTCACGAAAAAATATATATAACAACTTTCATTGCAACTCATTCTAAGAAATTTTCAAGCCCTAACAAATGAAGATATTTCTTTTAATTAAGTTGGTTAGAAAAAAGGTACTTATAAAAGTTACGTTTTGTAAAAACGGTTTTAAATTTAACATACGTAGGCATATATTTTAAATGAAAATGGTTGGTAAATTTTGAAAGCTATTTTTAGGAAACCGTTTAGACATCACTTCTCAAAAACATTTTGTTAGAACGAACAAATAAACTTTTTTTTAAACAAATTTATAAAAACTGGTATTCAGGACTGTGTGGCATCCCAAAAAAAGGAAGTGTCATCCCCCAAAATAACGGTAGCTCTGGTGGTCCACCCCTATGCGATACACGTCCGTTACGACTTGCACATCGCTAAGACGAAAGGTGATGTTTAAAAAAATCAATATGAAGGCCACAACGTGCGGGAGTTCGTGAAAGTTTAGCAAGCGTTATTAGTCAATGATGTCGGGGCGTTGTGCACTCGAAATACACTCGAAAGCCACTAATTCGCCAGGACTGCCGCCGCCGCAGTGACCAGATGGCCAACTGAACGGAAGGAGTGCGCGCAAACCAGTGAAAAGCGAGCCAAAAGCACCAACCAATCTCAGTCCCCCCCAGTGATGGCCTCCTCCTCATCCTCTGCGCGTGTGACCAACAACAAAGCTGCCGCTGCCCCTGCCTCTGCCGTTGCCTCTGCCGCCACCACCGCTCCCCCTCCGCCTGCTCCACCCGCTGCCTCCTCATCCGCTTCCACTTCCGTTTCCGCCTCCTCGGCTGCTAATCCACCTGCTAACGCTTCTGCTCCGCCAGCGGTGACATTAAGTGACCTGATTGGCCAGCAGCTGAAGCAGCTGAATCCCGACGAGCTGCTCTACAAGGATGAGCTGCAGCTGGTGCTCCACCTGACGCCCGTGCAGCGCCAGAAATTGAGTCGCGACCTGGAGGATGTCGTCGGCGACGTGGGTGCCAGCACCTCGGCGGTGGCGGCGGCACCGCTTTCCCGCCCCGAAAACGCCGACGAGGATGACGACCTGATTGGAGCGGTGGGCGGACTGGGTATTTCATCCCCGACCGCAACCAAAGAGCCGCTGCTGGATTTTAGGTGAACTGAAAACGCTGGCTGGCGATTGTGACCATTAATGGGCCCATGTCAATCCCATCCACAGATTGAATAAGCTGTCGCTTTCTTAAACCATTGCTTTGGGGTAAAAGGACTTTAAGTCATCATATACACGCAGAGAAAATGTGTCTGGTTAAGCTAACCAATTGACACACTTTTCTGACTGTACCAAATACAAGTAGAAAAGTTAAGTTAGAAAGTTTCTGTAGTCAGTCTTCAGGAACTTTTACCAGGTTTACCCACTGTCTTAAACACTTTGGGTCTTGCAATTTTTTTTTTAAATAGTATTTGTATAGTTACCAGTAAGGCTTTTACTTTTTACCACAAATATTTTATTTGTTCATAATTGTTTTAGTTAAATAATAATTTTAGGTGACAACCCTTAGATAGAATTTTCATGGTAGAGGTTGAGGAATTTTAACCATTTAAAAAATGTGTTTGTTTTTGTGTAGTTTTTACAAAAACAATTATTTATTTTATTGTTACACCAACATTCTCGTGGGCTAAATAATCAATAAGCCTACTTTAATATCACAAAATAATCGTATGCAAACGTACCCTGAATTTATTGTAGGCTTGTACTTTTTAAGGCAACATTTTGTATATTTATTTTGTATAATTAGATTGTAGGCGTTTATAATGTTTTTGCATAGAGTTTTGTTTAATGTTAAACGGCGATAACATATTCGAAAATCTGCGGTTGCTTTGTTTACCTCACACAAAAAAATACATTGGTCAAACGAAATAACTTAACCATTTTATTATAAAATAGTAAGCCAAACTACAATTTGACCAAAGAAATTTCTTTGTGTGCAGTGGCCTTATAGGGGTTTTGTGCCAGGGGCGGGCGTCCAAGCCATTATGCAAATCCATAATTACCCCATGAAATTAAATTAATTTATGGGAGCTGATTTTGCACCCCTGCACACTGGCATAGATTTCCGATAATACGGCCTATTTTCACTTCATAAATTAGACAGCCACTAAAAGCAATCTTAAATATTAAAACATTTATTTATAGCGAATTATTTGATACTCAAGACTCAACAGATTCATAAACAATATACCATTAAGTTTATGGCATAAAAGGGTTGTTATTTTAAAAATATTTGACATTGATTAGAAATTGTTTCTAACATTTTTCGAAAAATGTTATATACCGGAAAATTGAAAACTTTGCCCAGGGTGCCTGACTAGGTTGGTTTGTTGGTTTCGATCGCATGCATTCGTTACGTTTAAGTTAAGGAGCATTGTTTGCTGTCGAACTTGGAATTTGGGTCACTTCGTTCTGACATTTGCCGTGAATAATTAACCAACCGCCACACCACCCACTTCCCAATCGCATCGCACAGGCCACACGTACTCAAATGGTTTCAACATCTGCGCCATCAAACGGGCCACTTCAAGTCGGAGGAGGAGTCCCGTCGTCTGCGGGAGGCTGGCAACGACTCGTACCGCAAGGAGCGGCATCCGCTCAAGGCCAGCGACCTCTTCACGGAGGCCATCTTCCTGGCTCCGGCCCGGAACACACTGGCCGCCGCCCTGGCCCACGCCAACCGCTCCCTGGTCCTCTTCGACTGCGGTCTTTATGCGGTAAGGAGATCGTTTCCCGTTACGTCTATACCTCCAGTATCTTATCCTGATATTATTACATTTTAAATCCTTTTAAAAGGATTTATTATTCAACATCGGATTATATGCAAAATTAGATTTTAAACTTTCAAATCTAAGCAAACTTTAATAAAGCATTTTTTTTTATTTATTTAACAGTAGTTTGATTTAAACGTTAACTAATTAAGATTTTGTGGTAAAAATTTGTTTCCAATTTAAGATCGCTTAGAATCGTATGTTTCAAATACTACTTTTTACATAATCCTTTGTTTAGTTATGATAAATTTTAAAATTTAAAAGTGAAATGGATAATTTATAACAGAAGAAATTATTTGTTCCAGCGTTCTGTTAGAACCAAATTGAAGTTCTTTTAAAGATTTGAAATTGTTGTCTTTCCAAATATCTGAATATTTACTAAGCTGCTAGAATCGAAGTTATTTCGTAGTCTATATATATTAAACTGTCCACTAAAAACTAATTATCAATAGACAGCCTAAGTCAGTAAAGCTTATAGCTTTTATGTTGTGTTTTTTTTATTCATATTGCATTTACCTAATTTGTATTTTTTTTATATATAATTTAGTGGCCTCACAAAATGAAATAAATAAAAATAAAAATAATAGAGATTTCTGTGGCCTTTATAATATTTAAGATTAGAAAGTTATAACCGTAAACACAGAATGTTGTTATTAAAAGGGTTATATCTTAAATTAAAATATCAAAATTGATCTTCTTACTCACCCAATTCCGTATTTGAGGGTCCTGCTAATTAAGTATGTGATGTGTGTTTGCAGGAATCCTACGATGACTGCCTGTGCGCTTTGGATCTGGGCTATCCGGAGGAGTATTTGCCATTGATTAAGCTGCGCCAAGCCGCCTGTGCCTTAAAACTGCGCAACTTTGCGCTCTGCGAGGAGCATCTCCACGAGCTCCTGCACATCGAACTGAACCAGGTGTTCGAGGCGAGGACCCACGAGCTCTGGCACCAGTGCGAGGTGCTCAAGGTGGAGCGCTTCGAGATGGCCGTTCAGACGGGCGATGATCTGGATACCAACGATTCAAGAGCGTTTGAAATGTGAGTTGAAATGGGTCTTATTTAATTTCAGTTTCTTGACTAATCATTTGAACACATTCAAATAGAGCCTGGTTGGACAACTCCTCGTCGCTGCACACCACCCGGTCGGTGGCCAGGAACGCACTGATCTTCGAGTCCGAGGCGGTGGCCATGGTGCCGAGTGGCAATTGCCGGGTGTGCGACTACTGCGGCATCACCCAGTTCATCCCGTTCCCCTGCATTTACTGCTCCAACCGGCTGGTGGTCTACTGTTCCCGCTCGTGCCGCTTCAAGCATGCGGCCATCCATGCGGTGGAGTGCTTTGGCCACCAGATCGAGCTGTTCGAGTCCTTCGGCGAGGTCTTCGGCATGCCGCGTCTCCTGCAGCTGGCCCTGCGAATGCTGATCACTGGGCTGCCGGAGCTGCTGGGCCATTGCCGCAAGAAGCCGACGCTGAGCAAGCTCTGGTCGGCCATCAATGGGGGGCTGCAGGAGCGGCAGGATATCGCCTATAGTGCTGTGCTGCGACTGGAGCGCCTGAGGGAGGAGCAGCGGCCGACGGACACGGTGATCGCTTTGGCCCTGGCCGCCCACATCCTGGCCATTTACCTGAGCAAGTGCACCACGTTCTTCGAGCAGCTGGAGCGGAGCTTGCCCACGGCCTCCCGGATGTCGAGTGCCGAGTGGGAGCTGCTGTGCGCCGCGTTGCTGATGCGGCACATGGGCCAATTGCGCCACCGATCGCTTACCGCCTGCCGATCCTTCGTCCTGCCGGCAGATCCACATGTCTTCTCGCCACTCAACGAGTTCCAGCTGTGGGCCGCACCCATGCGCCTGCAGGAGGGACACCTGCATCTGCTGGCCGGCGAAGTGGCCGTCGTCTCGTACGCCGTCTTTCCCGAGACCCTGAGTCTGTGCCGCCACAGTTGTTCATCCACGATCTGCGCCAAGTTCTCCGGCCGCAAGGTGACCGCCCTGGCCCTTCTCGACCTGCCGGCGGGATCGGGCATCTACAACTGCTTCGCCGGCGGCAACTTCCAGCAGATGCCGCGCGAGGAGCGCTGCCAGCAGCTTCAGGAGCGCGGCATCAGGTGCCACTGCAATGCCTGCCAGCTCTCGCACGCGGATGATCAGTTCGTAAGTCAGGACATCACGTTATTACTTAATTATAAATTAATAAATATTAAAAAAAAAAATTATTTTTTATGTCCCTACAGAAATGTTATAGTTTCCTTTTTAGAAACATTATTTTCGATTTTTGTTAACAAACTTATGGTAAATGTTATTATACCATATCTGTATTAAAATCTCTCTGTTTTTAAATAACGATTTTAAAATAGGCAAAAGACAAATGTTTAAAATTTAGTAATATTTTAATTATTATTAAAATTTATTTTTATTTGTCGACTTATGAACGCATTAGTCTATCGAGTATTCATTTGATTTGCATTTTACATTTAATTATTTAATATATTTTTGGTATTTTTTGTCTCCTTATATTTCTGAGAAGGATTGAGTTGTTGCCCAACTATTTTACCAATTTATTTCAATTTATAAGGCAGGTTCGAAACAAAAATTGGTTTTTAAATATTTTAAAAAGAATATTATATTTATAATTTATGTTTTGCCTTGACTTTAAAATCTGTAAGCTGTTTTGGTTAAATGGGTACATGTTATTACATAGATAATAGATGATATTTTTATGTGATATTTGCAATTTCAAATTAACCTATAACTCAAATACTTATTTCACTTTGCAGTACAAGTTTCATCGCTACCGTTGTGATAACCCAAAGTGCATGGAAATCTTCACACCCAACGCCCTGCCGCATGCCCCGAATCTGCGTTGGTGGCTCTCCGAGGAGTACACCCAGCCGGAGTGCAATGGCGCCGAGCTGATCCTGTGCCCCCACTGCGGCGAGGCCCAGAAACTGGAGTGGTTCTGGGCCTTCACCACGTCCCTCATCGACTGCGAATTGATCGAGGAGCGCTGCAAACTGTATGCGGCCATCGAGCGAGCCGAGAACCAACTGATGGATCTGCACGAGTGCAAGGTGGCTCTGGCCAGGCTCCTCCTGGAGCAGTGCCTCATGGTGCACCGTGGTAAGTGCTCCTCTGAGCAGTCGAAGCACTCCATTTACTTGCTTTTTGCCCATTGCCAACAGCTCACTGTTCTCTCTTGGTTGCGCATCTCTCTTCTTTTCTACCCAACATTTCATTTAATTCATCCTTATTATCCGAAATATATCTAAAACAGGCGGATTTCTATGATTTCTGTAATTATACTGGAGCTTTGCATTTAGAATTAAATTCAACTTGGAGTTACTTGCAATTTAAGCAGCTTTAAATTATTCTTTTTAACAGAACTCTTCTGGTTTCTAACAAATGTAAGACTTTCTTAACAAAACTTTAATTCTTTGCAAATATTAAAAAGCAATTTTTAACACAGTTTTGTTTAAATTTTGATTAAGGTCTAATATAATTTATAGAACAACTGGTTTGAAAATTATCTGAAAAATAAATTGACTTGAAATTAAAAAATGTTTATTTACAATTTTTAAGTATTTTTAATTCCATTAAAATGGAATTTGCAATCTAGAGTAAGTGGTTGTTGAAAGTCATTACTGTTGTAACCTAAATTTTACTAAATTTAATGTCAATTCAGATTGGAGATCATCGGGAGAAGGCATGTACACTTTAAAAACACTAAACTTGTAATGAAAAGGGTTTGTGACATCCCTTTTAAGTCTCAACAATTTTGAATAACTTTAAAATTAAATTAGCAGGAAATTTGAAGTGGTTTTTAAAAGGACTTTACTTTTGTAAAAATGCAATTAATGTTTAAAATTTTGAGATTTAAAATTGAGAGAAGGCATACTTGTATACTTTCCAATATTATTTACTGCTCAGTCCTCTACTTCCAAGTCCTAGTAAACTATCACTTTTGATCTCTATTTCTGCGTCTGCTCCTTCTATAACCACCTCTAACAATTGCGGCAACCAAAAGAGGGGGCCACCGTTCTGGACGATTGGGAGTTCAACAAACTGGGCTCCATCCTGCGATCCGTGCTGCCCGGCGTGATGGCCCAGTACGGCGGACAGTCGATCGAGTACGTGAAGTACTTCGCCTACTTCTGGGATGTGATGGCGCTGAGCAACTACAAGTGCAACGATCGCGAGCTTATGCAAATGCTTAACGCTTTGGAGTTCATTGCCGATGAGTTCAAGGATATATTCATCAACTACTACGAGGATTATATTGCGCCCAAATTTGCTGAAGAGTCCTATGGCAGTGTCGTAGATACGCAAGTTTAGAAAGGTAAATGAAACAAAAACGTAACGTAACGAAACGAAACGAAACGAATCGAGCAATGTTAAATAAACTTAGATATATTTTAATCTGTAGCGACAAAGGAAAACGACACCCACAAATGATTCTAGGAAAATTCTATTGTTGACCCATACAAAACGTAATTGCATATATACTTTGTGCTATTATTAAAAAAAATGGTGCTGAGATATTAAATTGTACGAAACGAATGTTACATTCATTTAGGTGATTAAGTCAAAGCAAATAGCGTGCGAAGGAAATCAAAACGATCATATTAGTAGAGCGTCATATCATGCACACATTATGTTCATATCACACCTAGGAAATGATTAATTAACTTATTGATTATATAGCAAATGACTTTTTCATTTTGCATTGCGAGCAATATTAATGAATTAACAAAGCTACAAGTGCAGCCCTTTTGGGATGGCCCACTGTAAGGTTCATCGATCGATTTAAATCTTCAAAATTTAGTTAAATTGACAGGCGGCGATATTGAAACATCTTGAATCTTGGTACGAACGTACAGTGAGCACTCCCAAAACGGGCTAACCAATCGGTAGTTAGGCCGAAGCAAAACTAAGTGTAAGCATTAATTTAGCTTCTGAGAAGCTACTACCTAAGTGTAGCCACTGATCTCGATTGTTTGCCATGAACACGACTAATTGTTTTAACCACCCTCCCAAAATATAAGAACCTCTATTCAATCACTTACATATGTATTTGCTTGCCATCGGCAGCCTGACTGTAAGCTTTTAATGCTTAAAAATCAGATAGGAATCAAACGCAATCACTGCAGAAACCAAACAACAAAATGAACAAATGAACAAGACAACAAATGAACAATTTAAATAATTGAAAATGAATATTCGAATTATATGAATGAACAAGTGTTTTTCAAACCTCGCCTTAATTTTGTAAAGTGTTTTGAAATACGATAAAGATAAAGATGAAGAGGACGAAGAAAAAAAAAACAACAACAACACGCACTGATACAGCATAGGCCAGGCAAAATTCACACCGACACGCCCACACACACACGGACACAAAATCAGACACGCGAATCTATATAAATAAATATATACAAATTACAAACAAGATACTCAACCAACTTCTAGCTGCTATAAACAAATGCAATAAATTCTTTTTAACAACAAACAAAACTGTGTTTTAAATTTCTATAGATCAGATTCATCAACTGGGGTTTCCACTAAAAATTAATTTTAAATGCCTTTCAAAACTGCAAAAATATTGTCTGAAAATAAAGATATAACATATTTTGTGAAATAGCGAAAACGAATATATAAAACATTTATGAAACATTTTCAAATTAATTATAAATAATAATAAAATTAGCTTTTTTGGTTATTGATCTATGCCTGAATACCCTTTTTGGTAAATTGTTAACGAGTTTTGTTTCCAGAACTAAAAGCCAACATTTCTTAACCCAACTTTAAATATTTTTAAATTTATTTAAAACAAAAATAATAATTTGCTTACTTAGTGCATGGCCTTTAGTACAACTCCTGCATGCTTTTAATTCACTTCTTGGAAAAGAAGCTCATGATGTCGGCCTGCTTGGTTTTGGACCCATCCTTTCCAGCTTTTCCGGCCGAAGGAGGCGATTTCTTTTTGTTGACAGGGGCTGTTGCCTTGGGAGAAACCTTCTTCTTGGCGGGCTGTGTGTGTTTTACGGGCTTGCGCTGCGTGATGACAAAACCATCGTCATCCAAATACGTTTCGTTGACCGGCTCCGTGTCCATTTCATCGTCCACTGTGACAACTTCTTGTTCGGCTGCCTTCTTGGGCGGCTGCTCCTCGTCCTCGGAGTCGCTGATTCGTCGCCGCTTCGAGGTGGTGGGCTTCTCCAGATCGGACTCGTTGTCCGATCCTACCACATGGCGTCGCAGTTTGTCCAGCTTCTCCTCCTCGTCGGAGGATTCTGCGCTTTCCTCGTCGAAAAGTTGCACTGACGTGTTTGCCGCTGTGGGTTTCCTACTGGGACTGGGTGACTTCTTCTTGGATGATTCCTTTTTAGCAGCAGCTGGTGATTCTTTCTTGATTTTGTCCTCCTTTTCGGGTGGCGACTTCTTGGCGCCGGGCGGCTGCTTCTTGAAGAAGTTGTCCATGGTGCTGGGCGCCGCAGCTGCTTTGCTGGGCGTGGCCTTGACATCCTTTGGTTTGCTGGCCGCTGCTGTGAAGAAGCTATTGATGCTACCCTTTTTGGCTGCTGCAGGCTTGCCCTTTGAGGCCTGCTCCTTTGGAGAGGTCTTTTTGGTTTCCGGAGATGGTTTTTCCTTACTGACTGCTGGTTTTTCGGGCTCTGACTTTGCTGGTTCTGTTTTGAGCGAGGATTTTGAAGGCTCCACTTTAACCGAAGACTTGAAGGACTCCGATTTGACGCCATTGGTGGAAGGCACACCATTTGCAATGGGTGCAGTCTTGCCCGCTCCTGGACGCTGCTCCACTTTGGCCAACTTCACCTCCAAATGTTGCATGGGCTTGAAAATTGCCGCCGGCGATTTGGAGCCCCCGGCGATTTCCACGCTGTATAGCTGCGTTTCGGCATCCTGAACCTTGGATAGCCAATCCTCCAGCCTGCTCTCCTTAACCACGGAATACAGATCTTCACTAGAATCACCAGATCCTTGCGTTTTACGCTTGCCGTGAACCAAAAATCTCTTCTCGAACTTCGTTTTGGGCTCCTGCTTTTTGATGTAGGCCTCCAGCACAGCGTTCACCTCCTTGTAGGGCAGTTTGTACTCCTCCAGGAGATCGGTGACCAGCACACAGCGATCGAAATCGATCAGGCAATCGTCGAGAGCCTTTTTAAGCGACATTTTCATTGCAAATTGCAATTGCGGATTATTGTTTAGCAGAAATTAGCGCGAAAGCGAAATGTTATGATGCGGGACTGTCAACTCGTTGGCAGTCGCAAATGTACTAAGTCATCTTTACTTAGGCAAGATCCAAACCAACTAGTTGGCAGTCGCAAATGTACTAAGTCATCTTTACTTAGCCAAGATCCAAACCAACGAGTTGGCAGTCGGAAATGTACTAAGTCAAGATCCAAACCGGTGTATGTCCTCACTTCCAACTCGTTGGAGACGCAAATGCACTGAGTCACCTTTATTTAGCCAATATCCAAACCGGTTTATGTCTTTACTTATATTTCTATTTAAATTAAATTATTTTTATTTTTATTTTTATTTCTGGCTTTTAAAATCAAGCCATTGCAACGGATGTTGTACTGGTTTAAAAAAAATGAACTTGAACTAAAAATCCAAATAAAAGCCAGAAATGACTTTTAAATAGCTTTGCAGGCAGCACTTCCGCTTATCGATAACAGCATTTCGGCGCTATTCGAAAAAAAGAAGAAGCAGGAAGTAAACAAAAGTATTGCGAAATTTTCTTACCGGTTTATTTTTGTATATTTCAACGCCTTTGCAATGCAAATAAAATCCAAAAATAGTTCAGAAACCCACCGAATGCAGGAGTAAGTAATAAAACCTCTAAGGAATCCTCTAAAACCATGGAATTATAATTACAGACAGGCTGCAAATGAGGCGCGCATCACGCAGATTGAGGAGTTTATCAACGAAGTCCTGAAGGAGGACCTCCGGCAGCTGGAAAAGTGCATCGGTCAGTTCAACGAGGAGATCATGGAGTACGTCCAGCTGAAGAACACCCTGCAGACCTTCGACACCCATTTGCCGGAGGGCTATAAGACGCAGGTGAACATCGGCAGCAACATATTCATGCAGGCACGTGTCCGCAAGATGGACAGCATCCTGGTCAACGTGGGCAAGGATATATACTTGGAGATGACCATTCCGGAGGCAGAACGCTTCAGCGACACCCGCGTCAAGATCCTGACCAAGCAATCCGATGTCCTGCGCGAGGAGAGCGTCAAGAAAAGGGCCCAAATCAAGATGGCATTGATAGCAATCAGTGAAAGAGCAAAACTCATCCAACAGGATGATGGGAAATAGCAGGAACTCCTCAAAATTGAGGATATGAAACCAAACCCTTGATGCTCTTTAAGTGCATAAGTAGCTTTGTTGGTTATTTATTTTTGTGTACCTACATAGAATAGTAAAGTACTGAAACACTTATAAAAACGTTGAGTTTATGGTACCAAAATGTTCGCAATATATTTCTATATACAGACTTTGCAATAATTTTATGTACTCTCCTCATGTATTTGAAAAGCTTCGAAATGATTACTTGAACCTTTAAATAGTAAGAGTTTAAATCTTTAATGGCAGTGAATAGTTACTTTCAAATGAACTTTGACTTCAAACGTAAGGACTATTTATTAGATTATTCATTATATTTTATAGCTACATGTAACTAATAAGGCTTTTCAGCAATTTCAGTTGTACAGAAGCTCTGAGTAATATTACTTAAAGAATCTCCTATGATCACCTCTTAATTTTGATCATTATAAACTAGTAATTACCTAGTTCTCTAGACAACACTCATGGCTACACAAGCACTTGAATTTATTTAGTTTCTACTACAATTTACAAAGAGAATTTACAAATGACGAGCCTCCAAAATGTGGTTGGCCTATAGATTTTGAGTGTGAACCAAGTTGAAATGGACGGAGGGAGGAGCTAGAGATTCCTGTTCCTGTTCCTGTAAATCCTGGCTAGCTCTTACGACAGATCGTCCGAGGATCGGGTGGGCCTCAACGTGGACTGGGCCAGCGGATGACCTGCTGTCCTGAGTGTCCTGCTCTGGTTGGAAATACGCTGCGAGGTGCTGGCCAAGTTCTGCAGGCGCCTGGCCATCTGCGGGGGTCACAAGATAAGTCGGGAATGTTGTGGAAAATACATATTTCTATGTCATCTATAGTCCCAAAACAATCCAATTGGTCAAAATGATGAAAAGAGATCCGATACAGGCAAGCAAAGAATAAGAATTTCACACGATTTTGGAGTTATAAAGGTATACGAAGTACATAAGGTATAAATTATAAAATATATAAGTGCTTGTAATTACTAATAATATTTGAACTTTTAGGGTTCTCCCACTCACATCGTTTCCCGCCTCGGGATTCAACCGTCCGCCGCTCGCCTGCGGCGGACATCCCATCGAGGAGCTGGACGCATAGTTGACCGCCTGCTTGACCCGCTGCATCTCGGTCTCGAGGAGCGTGTGGTCCCGGTAGAGGGTGCGATACTCCTCGGCCAGCGTCTGGTTCTCGTCCAGCAGCATTAGGATGTGCTCCTCGGCCCGTTTGGCGCATTGGCGCATCGCCTCGTCGGCCCTCACTTGGGCATCCTTCCACCTGCGAAAGGAGTCGATGATCTGCTCCTGCTGCTCGTTGACCTCGGCCTGTTGCCTACCGGAGAGAGAGGACATGGCAGCTGCTCTTATATGGATGCACTCCATCCCGAACGGACTACCTACTTCAGGCGCATCTGCATCTGCTGGCACTCGCTGGCAATGCCGCGCATTTGCTCCCGCACGGATTCGTTGGCCTCCTCCAGCCGTAGAACACTTTTCCGGTGCTGGGCATCCTCCATCTGCAGGTGAGCCTGCATGCCCCGAATGAGGTGACGCATCTTCTCCACCTCCAGGTGGCTATTCTTCTGCTGCTCCTGAAGAGCCCGTTCGCGTCCCGTTGAAATGGCCTCCTTCTCCTTCAGGGCAATCACCTCCTCCCGCAGCACTTTGCGCTGGAATACATCATCGCATTATACGATTTATCTACCGAAGAGTAACCAAACCCACCTCCGTTCTCAGCTCCACCTGCAGCTCCTCCATCTTGTCCAGTCGCAACTGCAGGCTCTCCGCTTTTCTCTTGGCTCCCTTGAGCTCCTGGCACTGCGTCTGGAAGGTAGTCTTCATGGTCTCGTACTCGGAGCACAGCTCCACGCGCTGCTCCTCCTGGTTCTTCAGCTGGCCAGCCAGTTCTCGCATCTGGCGGGAAAAATCACCTGAAATAAAAGGAAATATTATTCCAAAATGAGCAGAGAAAAGTGAAATAGATCAGAAAGAGTTTCAATGTTATATAGTTAGTTATTCAAACTGAATTTTAAATAGAATAATTTATATGTATTGAAACGTTTTTAAAAGAAATCAGTGGTTGTAGAAGATATCATCACATGTATTGTATATGTAAATGCAATTATACATAATTTGTTTCTACTAAATTAACAAACAAATTGTAATTGACATACGCATATTTTTAGAAAATAAGTTAATCATTTCCCAATATGACTATAGTTATAAAGTTACAAATTAGAAAACGAAAAAATAAATCGAAGTGTGTTTGCAAATTTCCTTTAAACATTTTTAAAAATTAATCAGTGGTTAAATCATATTTTATTTAGTACAAAAAAGTTGTAATACTTTTTTTTAGGAAATAGATTAATTATATCCAAATGCGTATCATTCTCATGAGTTTTGAATAAAACAAACCGAAATTTATTTGAAATTAATTAAAATTTAAAATTTATAAAATATTTAAACATGTCTTTGTAAGTGTGAAAGCTCCTGGTCAAACATTGTGCGTGTTTCAATATAAATATACTCCATTTACTGCATAAAAGCATTTTTAAAAGCAAGTTAAGTCCAAGAAAAACATTTTATTATTTTAGCTGTTCAGTTTCTTAAACTACTATTATTATTTTATTTTTAAATGTTGGAAGTGTTTAATATAAATAAAGAAATCTATCTAATCCGATATACTCCCTTTTATTTCGTTGACTCACAATTCTTTTGCTTGAGCTCGTAAATCTCTGCTTTGAGTCGATTGTTTTCGCTGAAATCGGAGTAGCTCTTGATCATCGACTGCAGTTGATCGATCTGATTGTCTCGATCCTGTAAATTGCTCTGCAGTCCCTGGATTTGGCAGGCAAGATGTTCGTTCTGAGAAATAAATAAAGGGAAAGAAATCATAGAAATAATCAAGTGCTTTAAACGCGTTTTTCTGCTTTGTTTTGGGCCCAACTTGTAACTCCAGTTCGCAGTTGATTCGCGGGGCATCCAGACAGTGGAGCTCTGGCTCTGGACAGGATTGGCTGGCCTGGCTGGTCTGGGTGCTCTGCTGGAGCTGCTGTTGGGCCACCTGTTCGGTCAGCTCCTCGAGATCCCGCTTGAACTCATCGATGATGCTCAGGTAGTTGTCCCGCGTGGCCTCCAGGATCTCCGACTGGGTGCGACAGTGGAGCAGTGTGTGCTCCAACTGCTGGCGATGGGGGCAATCGGAGGAGCCTCCCTCTGCTCCGCTCTACAAAAACCCAAAACGGAAGTGGCACATGCTGTTCTCGATATCGCGAAAGGCTTGCAAAAAGGCTTACCATGGCAAGTCAGATTTCTGTAACTAATTGCCCAAAAAATCAGCTCACGGAATCACCTGTCAGTTGTCAATTGTCGATTCTCGATTGTTTATATCCCCATATATATATACTATATATATTTAAATCTCTTTCGGTGTCGAATGCTTGAAAACGTAGCCTTCGTGTCGGCAGTGGAAATATATCTCGCATAACCCAGACGAATTTCGGCTTCATTACCGTTTCATTTCATTTCAATAATATTGCTATTAAAAGTTTGTCACGAATATAAAACCAATTCGAACCGTAGGTGGCAAGGTTTTGGTTTTGGTATCAATTTCAGTTTCAGTTTGTGTTTCAGTTTCGGGTTTCAAAGTTTCGTTTCTTTGGCACTTGGTGGGGTACTTCTTCCCCCAGTTTTATAGACATTATTATTTGCCCGCCCCCACTGTTTGACACGATTTGAAAATAAAGTTGCCGCGGGTGGCAGCGAATAATATCCTTATTGAGATGGGGGAAATAAATTCGTTTGGGGGGAAAGCGTGGCTCCGCGCACTTAAAACACTTTTAAAGGCATATTATAATGGGGAGGGGGCGGGGTACGAATTTGATACAGCCCGGGAAAATGTGAAAATCGATTAAGACGGGGGCAATGAATTGTTATGATTCCTTGTCTGTCATTAAACCCATTAGAGCGACGCGAGTTTTCCACACCTTTTCACTGACTCAATTTGCACATTTACAGTTTGCACTCTTTGCACTATATATATATATATATATCGCCACCCACCCTCGAAACACTCGAAAACAATTTGCACTTTTGGCCAACTTTTTGCCTCGCTTTCTGAGCCGAAAACTTTGTGGCTAATTGCACGCCTTTTTCCTTTCGCTTTTCGCGCCGAATAAATTCAAATTGTTTGGCTGGGCGCGAGGTCGGCTAATTAGGGGGTCGTAAATTGTCTGTTGTATGTTCGGCATACATATATACCGCGATATATTCCCGCTGCCGAATCCTTGCGCTTCCCCGATTTGTTTCACGCGACTAAACAGCAACCGACGACGGATGACAGGATTCTGAAGCGAACTACTCCTTGACTGGGGCTTCCTGCCGACTTGTGTTTGATTTTGCCTAGCCGTTTACCAAGGAGATGATCGCGTGACGGTACTCCACATTTAAATAGAATTTATTCAAAATAATTACAAATTAAATAAATAAAATTCTAACATTTTAAAATAGAAATGGCCAGTTTCTGTTTTAAAAATCCTTAAAATATATTCTTGGCTTAGGGAACTCTTTTATATTATTAATTTTATATCGATTGTATTTAAAAAAAAAAAAAAAAAAAAAAACTTGATAAAATTTTTTTTTTTTTATTTGGTTTGGTTTTTATAGGTTACTTGGTTAACATTTTACATATGCCTTAAATAAAATATTTTAAAATATGTAAATAGACGTTCCTAAATAAACCAAGAAAAAAATTTTATTTAAGTTAAAAAAAAAAAACGAAATTAAATATCTATGAGTTACTTTCGATTTTGCAACCTTTTGTTTAGTAAAAAGTTAAGCTGCCTTGAAACCTTTGTTTTTTCGCAAAAAGAAAAAAAAATGCCATATGAAAAACCTCGAGAGTATGTGGTTCAATACCGGGTTCCTTGGCCTCACGAGGATCACGAGCATCTCTCGTCACTCAAGTTCCTGCCCAATCCCCGTGGCTCTCATCGATATGCATATCACTGCTCGCCTGCCTCGCGTGTCGATTGTGGGTAAATAAATAACACGAAACCTATTTCCGATTCGCCAGCGATTCCTGGGGTTCAGGTGGATCCGGATGGATGGATGGATGGAGGGCAGGAGGCACTCCCACTCCGAACAATTGCAGTGGAACATACAGCCGAGTTTCCACAATAAACACATCCGCGCAAGCGATTTGTATTTGTCGAATGTAGACACAAAACCCAAAAGGGACTTACTTTTGCGTCCAGGCAAAAATATATGAGTAAATAAATCAGACGACTCGAATGGCAACAATATTTGTTGTCATTCCCGCCAGGATACTATATGTATAAGGTATATATGGGGTTTGCTTCGCGAAGGCGAATGTCATTTACCACATAGGAAAATTCTATGTAAGGAGCGGAAAATGTATTTCACGCCAGTGGCATTGGTCATAAAAATTTAACAATATAATATGGGATATATGATATATTAAATTTAAAACTAAGTAAACATTAATTACTTATTCTGGGAGTCAGAGGAATGCTTAAATTAAAATTATTTTGTTACAGATAATTGTTCTAGTTATTATCCCCTTTTTCGCCACTTCGATTTCAGTCAATTTGTGTATATAAACAAAATGATTTTGTGTACATAAACAAACAATTCTTTCTTTTTTTGCTCTTCTGTTAGTTTTTGGCGGGAACCATTTCGATGATAAATAACTTTACAACTTTGACGAACTTTAAGCTATACTTAACTGCACTTAAGTTGGCTTAGCTTGGACTAAATGCTTAGGAGGGTCAACAAGTGACATAGTTATCTACTTGGACGTCCTGGCTTTTGTCATTGTTTTCGCTGTAGTTTTAGTTTTAGTTGTCGTTGGCTTAGTTAAAGGTTTAGTTGTTGATTGTGTTGTTGCTGTGACTGCAGGAGGAGGTTTGGTGGCTTTGGTGGGCTCCCTTTTTAGTGTAGGTATTTTCGTATCGCCTTTCTGCATTTGATATGACAACCGGGGTTATTGGAATCGCTTAATTGCGGGGTAATCGAAAGCGTCAGATACTCACACACGCCATTTGTTTATGCTCCTTCTCGGCACTCTGCTCGAATATTTCCTTGATGGCTATGCAGAAGGGGTTTTCCCTCGGGGATTCATCGTAGACGTCGATGTATGAGAAAGCCGAAGGGTGCTAGTTTCAAAAGTGGGCTTTTAATAGTGGTTTAATTAAACAACTTAAGTGAATATAATATTTATGTATCTGTAAAATGCCGTTTAAGGTTCATCATTGAATTTAGAGTTTTAATGTCATTTATATATTTATATAAAAATAAATTTCATAAATATTATACTAAAGCATATAAACATGATCTTACCAATTTGCATAGAAGATCGGCAATCTCCTTCAAAGTATCCGAATTCCTTTGACTCAAACTTTTATCCGCTTCGATCTGGGCTTGCAGCTCTGAAATTTTGACTTTTTCCATAGTTATAGCAAAACTCCCTTCATTTTGAATTATCAGGAATACGAACTTTGGGACTCGGTATCCGAGCGCTGGCATTTTCCGTGCAACTCGCGGTTTTTTTGCTCCAGGGAGTGAAGACGTCTTCGTACGCCTTCTATTATCTGGGTGTCCGGATCATCGAACTCCGAATTCTGGCAGGACTGTTCTAGGTCCGATTGGAGGATCCTCAGATGACTGCGAATGCTCTCCAGCTTTCTCACCGTATCATCGCGTTCGAAAGACTAGAATAAAAAAAATATAATTAAATCAAACAAAAATCGTGATGGATTTAGCCAGGTATTTAAACTTTTTTTCTACAAAGGCATTTTCTAACGCATTTTTTTAAGCCTCAAAAACTTAAAAGCTATTCCAAAAATACAAATTTTTTGTATATCTTAAAATAAAACTTTTTTAGGCTCTGCTTATCGGTAAAAAAAACAAATAAAAGGGTTTATTTTAGGATCCTTGGATAATTTATGATGAGTTGTGCAGGTCATTGGAAAATAAACATTTTTCTACGACATTTTGAAAAACTAGCTAGTTTGTCGGGAAAACAGCTAGAAAAAGCTTTACTTTGTAAACCCATAACTTGTAAACAAGTAAAGTTAGTTAGTGATAAAATCTTTGGAATTTAAATAGAATTTCTTACCAACTTTTCGAAGAAGCAGGAGAGACGTTTCCGGCGACAGTCCATGGCCTGGTACTCCTGTTTGCTATGCAGATCGAAGAGATCGTTGAGTTCCGTGTTCAGCAGTCGCAGCATCTCGCGCTCCTGGTTGTCCTGTAAGGAGAGGTTCTGCAACATGTCATTGGATATCGTCTCCACGGTCGCCGTGTCGCTGCAGGACGCCTCCAGAGTGGGCTGATCCTGGTGCACACCCTTGGTGGCATTCATCGAGGGCCCCTCGCATGGCGTATTCTCCGTCATGTTGGTAAAGCACTCCGTGATCTCCTGCACCTGTTCTCAGGATATATGGAATATAAATGATTATTTATTAGTTGAAAAATACAGATCCCTTGAGTTGACTACACTAAGAATTTTTCTACAACATTGACAATCTACTGAAATGTAAGATGACCGGGTTTCCGTTGAGACGATTAAGCGATAAGAAAATTAATCTATTATTAAACTCAGCTAAATAATGAGTAACGTCACAAAATCACCACATAGCCCTTAAAAAAAAAAAAACATTGATCTTGATTTTCGTCAATAGGAAAATTATAGGTAATTTACACATGACTTTTTTTTTAAATCTTAAATATTACATGTGTGTGTAAATATTTAAATTTAATTTAATTATCAAATATTTTGTTGCTCTCACCTGCTGATTGAGCTGGGCTATGCACTGATCCTTGAGGAGCAGCTTCTGCCTGGCCGTTTGGACCACTTCCTCCAAGGCATTGATTTGTGCCTTCAAATGGCAAACCTCGTCATGCTTGGCGGCCATTTCGGTGACCAAGGACTTCATGCACTCGCCCATCTGCAAAGGAGTAAGACACCAATTAAAGCCAGGCACTAGTTGATGGCCAACAAAACAAAGCAATTTATTAAACGGAAACATATACAGCCCAACTACGAATTCAACGTGGAACTTGTTTTGTAGTCTTTTCGATTCTAAGTGATACGGGCGGGCACTTGCACTGGAAATCGCCGCTGCCCTTGTCGCTCGGGGATCTATGGCCTACCTTCTCGCATTCGCTTTCCGGCCGGACCTGATCCCGGCCCACGCCCAGCAATTGGTTGAGGGACAGGGTCTCCAGGGTGATGCCCTCGGTGTCCCAGTTGTGGTGGTGGTAGGCCTTCTGCACAAGTTTCAAGATCGTGCCGAAGTCCTTTCGCAGCTTGCGATTCTCGTCCAGCGCCTGCTGCTGTTCCCCGCGGACCGACTGGAAGCAGGTGACGACCTTGCCGTACGCCTCCTCCTCCAAATCGGACATGTTGCCCAGGATCATGTTGTTCACGTGGAGCAGGAAGTCCACCCACTCCTGGAATGTGACCAGCCGCAGCTGCGAGGTGTACTATAAGGTAAAAAGAAGAATTAATTCAAAATTACAATTACAAGGCTTACAAAATATTATATTATACTGATAAAAAAAATTGAATGGTAAGAATAAATGCCTGAATAATGAATCCAATAAATTAAATGAAATATTAAATCATAATAATAAATACAAATCTTCCTCTTTTATTTGAATGCATTTAATGGTTTAAATATAAATGAAATTTTTGGATATTAAAAACAATTTCAAAAATAGTTAAGTGAGAAATAAAAAAAATATTAATTAACGGCAATAATGAAAATCAAATCAAAAAATATTTAAATCGAGTACCAGTGAAGTTTTGAAACGGGTCATAAAAGCACGGTCTTTAATGTTTAAATACAATTCTTATTAAATTGCATGATTAAAGATTAATTCAAATTAGTTCGTGTTTGACTTATAGGCATTGTTATAAAGTTCCATATGGTTTCAATTAAAGTTACTTTTTCAGGTTTTAAAATATATGGAAAAAGGTTTAAACTAAATTTACTCTGTTTTCTTACCAGTATCAAAATATTAAAATTTTTCTGGAAAACAAAAACCAAAATGACTTTCCGAATAAAAAGAAGTGATAAAAATGTTCTTCTTTAATAGTAGAAAAGATTTGCTTATTATTTTTGAATTAACTTTTTCAACAAATAAATGAATTTTCTCAACAGCAAATACTTTGTTATAATTAATAATTTATATATCCTCCAATGGATTACCTATCCGCTCACCATTGCATCCCCGCTTTGTTCATCCAGGCAGTCGATCTCGTCCAGCCGCTTGATGAATATGTTGTTCAGCTCGAAGTTCATCTCGGCGGCTTCGCCGGAGGCGTCCCGTAGTTTTTGGAGCAGGCAGCGGAAGTAATCGGTGGACTCGGGCACCGTGCTGGCATTGCACTGGGAATGGCAGGAGGGACCTTCCCTGGTCAGGATTTCCAACTTGGAGTTACTGGCAGTGTCCAGCTGTTCAACTTGCTTCGCCGATTGCTCCTGCGAATTGTTGCTCTCTGGACTGGCGGCTGGCAATCGTGATGGCGACGATGATGGTGATGGTGATGGTGGTCTGGAGCGATTCATACCCATGGACCTGGAGTCCAGGATGAAACCAGCTCGACGAGAGCCCATGACTACAACGATCCAAATTTTCGACAACTACTTCCTCCTTCCGTTCCCACTGCGTGATGGCATTCAAATCGCGAGTTCTTATGGCGGCCGATTTAAGGCTGATCTAGTCTGGCTGGGATTAGCTGGCGTAGTTAGACATGTGTATATGGTTTCCACATCGGAACGTTCACTTCGAGAGCGGCAATCTCAAGGCACTGCTGATCGGAAAGAGAATGCATTCAAATCACTTGGCCAAAAAATCACTCACTCACTCGAACAGAAAAACACATGAGTTGTAAAAGTTGTAAACTTATCAAAAAACAACACTCAAAATGGGCGAAAAAAAAAAAGAAAATAAAATATAATATCTGATTCGAACCTTGGCGGCGACGTCAGTGCGCTGCGTTCATATCTTTTGTTTGTAGTCTTCTGACGTAGCAGCCTGTAGTTTTGTTTATTTATATTTTTCTTGTTTTTTTTTTTGTTTTCGAGCTACACACACGCGTATTAAGTATACGGTTTCCAGCTTGTTGTTTTTATTTCCCTCCCCCGAACCGATCCAAATTCCGCGCGAGATCGTCGAACAACGTTTCGCATGGAGACCGTGGCAAAAACTGAAACCGAAACTGAAAACTGAATCTCGATCGCTTAACTAAAGCGAACCGAGCAGCGTTTCGTATTCGCTCCTAAAAAAAAAAAAAAAAAAAAAAAAACCCAAAACCCAGAGAACCTCTCGTACACTGAGGAAACTCAACTCGAATCGACTCTCTGCTTATCAGTGCGTTGGATTGGATTGGAATCGGACTTGGAATTGGATCGCTCCGTGTTTGCCCAAGAACTTAGCAGTTGTGAATTCCAGACCCGTTGCTCCCGATACTGCTCACTATATATCCGCAAGTCATCGCTGTTTGCTTAAGTTGCGGTCTCGAATCGGCCAATTTCGTATATTTGTTAACTCATTCGGTGGGGTATTTGCCATTGGATAAGTTTGTTTGGCCGAAATTGATAACTCCGGCATGGGAATGGTCTGGCTGCCCGATAAGCTGAGCATTCAAAAAGGTTACACAATCCCTGAAAAACGAATAAACTAATTTATATCAAATTACACAAAATAGTTGTTTGTTTTAAACAAAAATTATGAAATTTTAGGAAACATTTGTTACAAATTAGGCAACAAATAAACAAAAGTAAATTTTAAAAACAACAAAACGTTTCACAAAAATTCATAATACTAAACTTTCAAAAATTCCGTAAAAATATAAAGAAAGACTTAAAAATTGAAAAAAGAAATTTAAATGTAAACTGCAATATCTAAGAGAATTTCTTACGCTCCCGCCAAAAATCAAATGCATAACATTGAAAATGTTCAAACAACAATTTAAAACAACACTTGTTTGTGGATAAAAATTGTTACCAAATTAGTTTTATTTTACAGGCGAATAAAAGCATTCCATAGTGAAAATGTTTTAAAATCCTTTTAAAAGATAGACAACAACTGTTAAATGTTAACGCTCATTATACGTTTTATTTATATCGATTTTTCATACGTAAGAACAAAAATGTATTTACAATATTTAGATCGCGTTTGCTTCCGTTTTCATGCTTTTGTTCGGCGTTAAATTGTTTCTCTCGTGTTTTATTCAAAATGAATTCTTTTTTGTGTCCTACTTAATTCAAATCCATTACAGAACTGTTGCCTATATACTTGGAATTGAATCCGCATATCAACTAATAGATAAAACAACTTTCATACAGATACAGATTATAGTAATCACTGCACGTTAAACACTTGCTTTGGGCGTACACAAAAATAAAGATAGGAATAATGAACAAATCACATTGCAATCTTTATGTCTTATGTTCACATCAATCTCAAAAGGTGGCTTGAATGTTTTAGCAAAGGAATTGGGAATTGGATTTGGGTCAGACGTATAAATGTACATCATCAAACGCTCACTAAATTTAATAATTCATTTATAAATTTATTATTTTAGCTATATTTATAGTTATTAATATTCTTTTTTTTTTTTTTGCTTTTATTTCTGTTGTTTGCTTCTTTACCTTTTACTCATCTGCTTACAACTAGTGCTTGCATTATGCATTATTTCTCTTATCTTGCTTTGCGTACGATTCATGTGGGTGGATAATGATGTGGGTGTGGCTCTGAATTGGGTGTGCAGATGTGTGTGTGGGCTGGGCATACTGCTATACACTTGCTATGCGCAAAGAAATGACCGGTAAAACAGTGGTTAGAGAATATCAAGAAATATATTAGAGGGATAATAATTATGGTGTGAGGCTTGTCTTATCCAATAGCATTTTAAACTGATCAATTTTGAATGTCAGGCTTACAAAATGGGTTTTTTTGCGAATCGAAATTTCACAATTCGGGGGGGGGCGTACTAATATTGGTATAATAATGCTTTTGGGTTATTGGCTGGCGGTCATCTATGGTCGTGGTCAAAAATATCATTCGCATGCGCTATCCGAGACTCGGAATTCGTTTTCAGTGTGCTAGCCCTGGCGGTTTTGAAGATGAGTGGTGGTCCGAATTCGGATCGAGATGCTGCTACTGCTACTGCTACTGCTCCGCATTAGCCGCTTATGCCAAGTAGTTGTAAACTTTCCGATCCTCGGGTGATCGCTGCAGATACTCGCGCTCGATTAGACCCTCGATGCGCTTCTTGATAAACACGGGCGAGGGCAAGAAGCGCGACTTCAGCTGCGACGTCACGTCCGACACCAGCAAGTTGTGCTGTATAGTACATCGATAATAATAATCACAATTAAAAGACAGTTTTCAACTATGATTAGCCGAAATACTCACAGCCATGCGCTTGCGCGCCTTCATGATGCGCACAATGGCCGCTTCGATCTCATGCTTACGATCCTCGTCGACCTTGCCGCGCGTCTCTTTGCGCTCTGGCTCCGACTCGCCCTTGGCGGCCACAGTTTGGATCTTAACCCTGATTTGTGTGATTTCGTGGTGTTAGTCATAGATTCCTCTTAGTCAGGATCAATGTCTTACCTGTGGAACTTGGAGACAAAGGCATCGTTCACATAGAACTCATCCGTGGGCTCGATGTCCTTAGTTTTCGTCTTGGAATTGCGCACCAGCAAACGCTGAGCGGGTTTGCCCATGGACAGCGATTGCAGGGCTCGCACCAGCTCCCGTTCCGGTATGTCCGTCTCCTGGTGGATGTCATCGTAGGTGAGCACGTCGCGGTTGTTAAATAGCAGTAGCACGCACATCTATTTTGGGTTATTAAATATATTGATCAATAGTTAGTATTACTATTTAATCTTAAAACTCACCTGGTAGGTGGACACTTGCAGAATGTGCTTGCGTGTGGTGGTGGGCACTGCACAGCCGCTCGAACTGGAACTGGGTGCATCCTTATCTTTTTCACTTTCGGCTGCTTTGCGGCCATAAAACACAGCGTTTATATAGGCGGTTCCTATATTACAAAAATTGAGTTTGTTAAAAAGGGGAATCTAACAAGCAAGGGCTTGCATCTTTAGCTCACCCATTTGTGGCTGTAACGTCAACTGACGCCCTGAGTGCTTGTTCAGATAGAAGTTCTTGAAAATGTCAAAGGCTTCGCGGGGTGCGGCAGGTATGTTGCAGTTGGGAGTTGCTGTCTGTAAGGATGCAATGCAATGTAATTCAACATATATATATCCAGACTAATTGCAGACTTTATCGAACTTACCTGCGTGGGCCAGAAGCCGGTGGTTAGTATGCGTACCGTTAACTCAACACCGCCCAGAGATAAATTGTTATTATTTACATAGCTCTTGAACTCATCCATGATCGTATTGGAGACCGACATGTCCTTAAACATGCCCTCTAGCTTCGAGGTGAATTGACAGCCGCATTCAGTCTGCAATAAAGACAAACAAAAAGCATGAAATCTACATCCATACCTAGTACTTAGTTGTTAGTTGTAAACCCACCTTTAGTTTGGATATCATGTTCTTTTCGAAATCATCTGAGACTGATTTGTTTAGCAGCAATCGCTTGGCTAAATGCGTCTTGTAATAGCGCTCAAAGACATCTTTCTCCAATAGAAAACGGAAGAGCACCATTGTTTTATCCAAGATGGACTCAATTTCCTGCTCGCTCATCTGTGAAAAAAAAAGGAAACGAAAGCATTTATACATGACGCCAAGCATTTTGCATTTTGCAATATGAACACTTACTCCCTTGCCGCCCTTTTTCAGTTTGTCATCGATGAAAAGCGATAGATACTCCGGCGATTTGTTGTTCAGGTTCAAGAAATGCTCGAAATCGGATGAGATGACGTTCTTGAAGATGCGATCGTTGGCGAACGAGTGCACCAGAAACTGATCGAACCGATCCTTGAGATCCAGCAAGTTCTGCACGAATGTGATGGGATTCGTGTTGCCGTTTTCCTCCTCCTTGACCAGCATGCGTCCCTGCTCCCGCAGATATGCCGACATGGTGTCCGCTATCACCTTGAGACCCTCCTCCTTCAGGCGCGAGAAGAGCTTGTATGTGCAGGCCAGATCCTCGGTCTTCGAGTTCTTGATCATGTACACCACGCCCGAGTTCTCCATTTCGACAATGGGGCGCATGTGCTTTTTGATCAGCTCCTCCTCGACGACGCGCACGATGCGCGGCTCTGTGTCCTTGTCCAGATAGAGTGCCGCCCGTGAGGATTCCTCCGTGATGCGCGCCTCAACTTTCTTGATGTAAACGCCAGCGTTGTTCTCGGCAAGAAAGTTCTGCGACTCGAATTTGTAAAATGCCGCCGACTGGGCCAGGAAGGGCTTCTCAAAGTCCTCCTCGTAGACAGTGCGCGAGTTGATGCCCAGTGTGATCAGCATGCTGCAAGCGTTCTTGATCGCCAGATGGTTAATGGGTTCGCCATGTCGCTCCTCCATCACCATGCCAAGCAGTTTCTCCCGCAGTGCCTTTTGGATCTCCGAATAGCGAACCACCTGGCAAATAAGTGGCATTTTAAACTTAACAAATGGAATACTGATATTGATGTTGATGTTGATGTTCCTTACCTGATCCCTGAACAAAATCAATCCCAGATTGTATACATTGTCCACCTCACGCTGCTGCACATAGACCCTGTCCATGTACATGAGTATGTCGCGTATCATCACCATGGATGTCTGGTGGTCCGTCCAGGCCTGGTTGAGCTTGGGCAGAAAGTTGCTGTGAAGTGCCTCCAGCACGTCCGTCCGCACCTTGTGCTCCAGGTGCTCGGAGACGACCTCCCTGAGGCCGTAATACAGTCTGTTGCCGTGCTTGTGCAGCACCATGTTGTACGCATTCCGGTAGAGCTGCTCAAACGACAGTCCCGAGTTGTTCTTCTTCTGTATCTCCTGGATGGCGTTCTTCAAACTGGCCCAAATGGTCTCCACGTACTTCTCGTCCATGGAGGCCTGAAAAAAAAACATAATTAAGTTGATTATTTTGTATAAAGCATTGGGTTAGTTTTCAGGGACCAAATTGTGTATCGGTATCGCATTTACACCCTGACATTTACATTTACATAAGCACTTATTTAATCTTTCTCTATTTCGAGGTATCTCTAGTATAACCGGTTTTAGAAGCAACGTACTATTAAATCAAAAGTACTATCTAAATCAAAAATGTATCTTTTCAAGATTATATCAACTTTAACTTCATTAATCTTAAATATTAACTTATTTGCTTAAAATCAACGTTGATTTTGGCTAAGGTTAGATTGTACAAAATAATCTATAAAATTATCTGTTAACATTTCCTTCCTCCAAAGTAAAGGTTGTTTGATTCAGGTGGATACTAGACCTTAGGTTTTAGGTCCCTGTTTGAAAGTTATTAATTATTGGGCTAACATTAAAAGCCGTTCGCTTGTACTCGGGTAGCCAGAGTGGATACTTCCGTCCAATTTCTTGAATGCGTTTTTGCATATCTTCTAGGATCACTGATTCGGGGGTTGGTGGAGCGGTGGGCGTAGCCGTGGGTGTAGTTTTTACGGTAGCGGGAGCAGCAGGAACTGGAGCTGGCATGGCAATAGGCGGAGGTGCAGTTGCAGGAGCGGTAGTGGGAGTAACTCTGCTGTCCGTCCGCGATCGAATCCTTCCGCCGGAAACAACATAGTTGCGCTGCTGGAGGGCAAGCAATCCCTGAGTTTCCAAACGACGCTGGGCCAACAGACGCTGGTGCTGTGTTAAGGGTTCGGTGGGCTCGTTGATGTCCAAATTGCGCGTCTGTTGCCGTCCCAGAAGCTCCTGCCTGGCGATCTGGGATGTCGCACTGGCGCTCACATTGCCCACGTTTGCGCCATCGAAGTTGTTAGAGCCGGCCACCATGCGATTGTGGTAGCGACCATGGGCGTTGAGGTTGTTCAGTGGCTCCGGCTGCTGCTGGCGGGGATCGCGGCCGTGCATGGGTCGGCTACGCTGGTCCAGCTCCTCCTCCCTTGTCCTGTCTCCTCGGCGGTGATGGTGGTGATGGCTCCTCCTCTGATCCTCGCTGAGCGCCAGAGAGCGACGGGCTGAATGATGGCCCGCTGCTGAGGCCGGTGCCTTGCGGGACCGACTTTCGTTTGACGACTTAATGGTGACGGCTTCTATGACACATGCGCGCGCGCGGTGCTCCTCTTCCGCTGCTGCTGCTGCTGCTCCTCCTCCTCCGCTGTGCTCCTTGCTCCGGCCAGAGTTCTTCTCGCGTTTCGGGTCTCGCCCTTCACCCTGCTCTCCACATACAGATGTTTACAGACTTTTCGTGTGTGCTGTTGGGGAACAATAATTTCTCGAAAACTACGATTGAATTCGTTGTAACTTAAAAACTAAAATGTGTGTTCAAACTTCCCCTAGCCCCGTTGGGTGTTTTGATGTTTTTATTTGTTCTACTTCATTTTTTTTTTTTTGGTTTGCTTTTCTTGTCGCCTGACATTTTGATTGGATTAGGGTGAAAGCTCACACAACCTGGGCATGTACATATAAGTATTTTATAGAACAATTAATAAAAACATATTAACAATCTTATCGGGAAATTTTGCAAGTTCACGCAGGCAACAGATTTTTCAGGTAATTTTTCAGCGCACAGCTAATGTAAAAGTTATGGAACTGCAAAGCCTGTGAAGTAGTTTTTTAATGTTTGTTTGGTTATTTAATACTTTCACAAAACGCGATTAGGACTTTATCACAAAAATCTGTAAAGATTTCTAAATACAATGTGTTTATTGGCTATCAGTGTCTAAAAATAGCTTAACCCTTGTCGTACATTCAGTCTTTACCATTATATAAAACCATTTCAAAATATTATTAGTTAGTTCAGGTATTTTGAAATAAAAGTAGCTAAGGATTGCTTATTATTTCCCATTTCACCTTATATTAATTAGTTAAGTGCAATTAAGATATAGATCTTAGGGTTTTCGAAATTTTTCTTAATTTAAGTTCCCAACTGGTTGGGCAGGTTCTCTGTTTTAAAATATTAGTTTGTATTAATAACTGATTAATGTACTTTATAATTATTATAATTTCGAAAGATTTTCTTCAATCCTTTTTAGATTCTTACCGGAAAAGCGCGTATGCGCATTTTGCCCTCCTTCTTGGGAGGATTTCCCCGTAGATTCATGCTTTGCAAGCGTCGGCACTGCTCCTCCACTTTATTGGCGGTCCGGACTCCGGAGCAGGGAGCTGCAGGTGCAGGTGCTTTTCCGACTTTTCCGATGACGGAATCTGCTTCCTTTGGATGTAAACAATGTTCCACAAGACAACAGCAAAATTCTCACGTTCTGCGGGTAATCCTAGAAGATAAAGTAGTAAAATCAATTAGTTTCGCCAGAGTTTCCATCTATTGTTTATAAGATAATCAAAGTAGGGTGTCAATCCCGAGGCAAGTTTCCTTTTTCTTGTACGCAAACATTCCACGCAAAATGTTAGGGTGTCAAGCGCGAATATACATACATACATACATACACACAAAACATATGTGCGAGTGTGTGTATGTCTATTTGGGGAAGCGGCGGTTTTTATACGCCAATAGTTCGCAATTGCGAATATCCCGGGCTCGCGGGGGAGGTAATCCCGATCACAATACTGCGACGCCACTTCCTTTGTTGCATATATCATATATATCGCAGAAATCGGGGATATATGCCCGCAGGCACAGCCGATCTCTCCGCGTAAGAGAAACGGAGGAGAAAAAAAACTCACACGGCGACAATATAATTGTTATGTACATATGTACATATATGTGCACTTAATACAAGAACCGTTGTTTCACTCGCACTGTCGTCCGATGACCGATAAATACATATCCAAAATAGGTCTATCTAAATGCCAGACGGTTGTGATTCCATACTTTTATTTTAATTTGTTGCTCTCTTTATTTTCTTTACGGTTTCTTCTATTTCACTTTGTCATGGAAAATACGTCTTCCATGTGTGGGTGTCTATGTCTGCGCTTGTGTATGTATGTTTTTGTACCTGGCCTTTCCAAGCGGCTTTTCACGGCTCTTTTTAAGCGATTGTTGCTATACACTATTAATTTCACTGGTGCAAATGCACTTATATTTTAACTGATATTATTTAGCTCGATTTGTTGCTGTTTTCAGCATTTACTGGCATTGCATATTGATTGTAGTTCGTAATAGGGATGGGCGATAGTCGTCGGAGTGTTGTTGTTTCTCGCTGCGAATGGCAATGCCTATCGATGTTTACTCTAGTCTGTCGATAGTTCCGATGCTCCTTTGGAAAGTGCTTTGTAACTTCATTTTAAACGTGTGCCAAGAAACGTAAATAAAATATTCTATAAATTTATTTTTACTTTAAATACTTTTAATTAAATTAGTAAAAAATTACAACATAAACATTTACATCCATTTAATTTTTATTTGTAAATTCTAAGTCTGCCCACGTCCATCTCTAGCTGGTAGTGTTGCTCAATTCGTATATTTCTCTGTGAATGACAGTTCTGTATAATCGCATTCCTAAAAGTAGGCATTACTTTACAATACGCGCAAGTTTTAAGTATTTTAATGTTTCTTTAAAACGTTTTTTGGGAAAACAAAATACTTTTTACTTTTAATGTGTGAATTCTTTATTTAAAAATTAATATATTATTATAGACTTTGAAAAATAGAACAAACATAAAAAAACAATTTGAGTATTAAAATGGTAAGATATAACTTTACCTGTGCATTTTAAATCATTAATAATACTTTTCAATTAAGTTTTTTATAGGAAGTGTTTTATGGTGGAATACCTTCTTAATCCTTTACCCAGCAGACTTCCCCTAGGCTTATGTTTTGTCCTTTTTAAGTGCCAACAAGTGAAAGCTCAGTTTAACAACTAATTACCCTGCGACAAGGTCTCGCGATTCGGGTAATATTTTAATTATGACAACTTACAATTGGCCGAAAAACATATGTAAGCTGATATCCAGCGTTGGCTACCGCATGTGGCTTTCTTAATTGGCCAACGAGTCGCAAACCTGGCCCACTGCCTTGGCTGATAAGCAAATTGGCCAAAATGTACAACAGAATTATGCGTTTAATTTTGCGCGCAAGCCGGTGCGTGTAAATTATGCGCACTTTCACCGCTCGAGCGGCGGATGGGATCCCTTTTCAACTTCATTTGTCGTGCGTCGAAATTAATTAGTCGCACTTCAAGTTCGCTTTAATGCGTAGGTGTTCGTCCGTTGTCGTCGGTTCAGGCGTATTTATTACCATTTATTCACGACTGTCGGCTGATGCGCCGCGAAATAATTACACGACGGGCACATCAACATGGATGTTGCACGCTGCGGGTGCAACAATATCAAACAAAAGTTGCTAAAAAATGAATGGTTAGCGCAGCCAACAATTTGGGGAAATAGTCGCGACCATATACCATATAGCCACCATATAATCGTGCCGCATCGCAACCACTCATATTCACACCAGGCACTCGCTTCAACAAGGACAATAAATCATCCAAAAGGCAGTCGAGTGCAGACAAATTCACTGAAATTTAAATAAAAATCAAAACAAATGCTAGACAAAACACGAGTCCGGGAGTCGGGGTCCGTAAAAGGCGAAAAGAGCCTGAAAGGCAGCCGCATCAATATGGAGCATACACAGAAAAAAAAAGTATAGAAATTAAACAAAAAAATACTAAGGAAAATACATAACCAAATTCGTAGTTGTCAAATTAAAAAAACAGTTCAAAATGTGGTACATCAAATGCACCCTTTTTACAAAGTTTAACAAAGTCAATTATAAAATCTATCAAAAAACAAAATATGAAATTTAAAATTGTTTGCTGTGTATGCAGCAGTTGCAACAACAACTCAACGTCGGCATTATGAATAACTTTTAAATTTGAATGTGAAATAAACGCTTTATCTAAACGGGCTACCGTTAGCAACATGCTACTCTTGCAACTGTTGCTGCTGCTGCAATCGCTGTTGCCAGTGATTTATGCAGCAACATTTGATGAAATATAATACAAAAGGCGCACAGCAGCCGCAGCAACAACAAAGATAAATTGCCGCACGCTAAATTGTAAACTATATAAGGTTTAAATGCAAAGTGTGTTGTCCGTTGCCTGTTGCACGTTGCATGTTGCTAGTTGCTGGTTGCTGGCTGCCGGTTGGCCGCTGCATGTTTACATAACGCCGGGCAACAAATGTTGCTTGGCTTTCATGGCTTCATTTGGCTACATTGTTGGTTTTTTACTGAGTTTTCCAGCACTTTAACTGCTTTTAAATCGTTAATCATTCAATGATCTATCATAAAACACTCAATCAACGTTCGATGACTGTATTATTTTTTTTTTAATATTCTTTATTTTCTCACAGTTTGCTGGATTTTAATTGCTATTGCACGGTTTTCGTTTCGACGGATCCGGTCAAGGCGATGCACTCGATCTCCACCAGCGCATCCATTGGCAACTTGGCCACCTGGAAACAACTGCGAGCCGGGAAATCCTTATTGAACACTGAAACGGCAGATAAGCAAACATAAGCACATATTTTGAAATTGCAATAAAAACAACATGAAAATAGCAGTCATAAAATGTTTACAGTAAACAATAAATGAAGGTGATAAGGCGCTAACGATGCCGATTGCCTTATCAGGCGACACCGATCAAAAGGCCGGTATACAGTGGGTATTCCTATATAAACTTTACATTAAAATATAAATATTAAGACAAAGTTTCAATTAGTATAAAAAATTACTTACAAAAAATATTTTATTTTTACAAAATAAGTACTGTATTCACCTTTTTTGTAGACCTCATTGACGGCCCCGAAATCGTTGAGATCCTTTAGGAAGACTGTATTCTTGACCACTTTATCCACTCCGGAATCGGCTGCCTTGAGGATTGCCGCCAGATTTTCCAGGGCCTTTTCTGTTTGCTCCGTTGGTCCACCGGGAACTAACTGCATGGTATCCTTATCGAGACCCAGACATCCAGACACATACACAGTGCGATCGGCCACAACAGCCTGACTATATGCACAGTTAACAACAATTAAATAAAAGGTATTTATATAGGTTTTCTATCATATTGTACTTACTTGTAGGGAGCCACTGGCTTGGCAGCATTTACAGTGCTGATTAGTTTCCTCACAATCGTCGACATTTTGATCTTGGATACTATATAGTGGCTGAGGGTAAAGACAAGTGCAGCTGCTGAAAGTAAACTGATGGAAAGCTTTATTTTTCGTTCAACAAGTGGCTTTTGTTATCAGCTTTTTCTTTTCACAAGCTCATTCGCTTTTTCAGCCGCGCAAACAGGTGCTCTCTGCTGTTGTGCTGAACAGCTGTCTTATGGATCTGTTAAAATAATGTTAAATAATGAAATATGGTATTTGATATGTAAAGAAATAAGTAACAATGTGTATAATAATTGTGTTACTTTATTTACTCAATATATTTCAAATAAATAGTTTATATAAGCATATGGAAATAGTCTGGACTTTATAACTAGTTAACTAACTTCATATGGTTTTATAAAGGTAAAGCAAGTAAACCTATTAAAAATGTTAACCAAAAAAGGAAGTAAGCGATAACATTTTTAATATATTGTTACTTTATGACAAATTCTAAAATAAATGTCTTAAAAATTAGGATATTTCTACACTATACATACACCTGACTACAATTTATCCAGGTTCACAATATATATTAGCACAATATTGAATAAAAGTTAAATTATAAGGCACCATTATTCACGTGAAACCTGTGTATAATATTAATACGCATATTAAGTAAGCTCATATGCTTTAATATCTTAATTAACATTTTTCTGCGGAATTATTAATTCTCGATCTCCGGAAATTTGGGTCGCACCCGCTTTCTCTAGCTGGCGGACTTTTTTTTTGGCCAGCCGATATTTGATTTAACGCCATGAAAAATGCAAGCCATGTCACTTAGCCACGCCCATCTGAGCCGCCCCGACTAATTATTTATTATTTGGCAATTGCTGTCTGTCAGTCGCTGTCAGCCGGGCCAAAAAGGTAAAAAGAAAGCCCCGGCCAAAGAGTTCCCGTTTCAGAATCTTTACGCATGCCAAAAAAATACCGAAAAAAAGAGGAAAACACTCTGTAATTATGTGAAGACGATGGGGATCCTGAAATGTGGCAAAGGGTCTTAATCCCGGACTGAAAGCTGCACCCAACTGCAGCAAGCAGCGTAGGTGCAACCTCAGAGCAAAGAGAACACGCCCAGCAAAACGCCGCCTCAAGATTGATTGCAGACGCTTTGTTGTTTCTTTTGCTAAATCAGTGAAAAAAATACTTTATTAATTATTTTCCAAAAAAAAAGAAGGAGTTTTTCATATTAAAATGGGTACATTTTAATTTTAAATTCAGTTATTTGATTTATCCGTAAAGTTAACTGTGATATACATGACCTAAAATGGTACTTCACATGCCTTGACGAACGTTATTAATTTTTCATCACAATATTTAATTGTATTAATTTGTTTATAATACATAAAACATACAAGGACATTTTTTATTTTAGTTATTTGACTAAAGAAAAAAGTATTTATTAGATTTTAAAATACATTGGCTTACATTTCGAAGGGAAAAATAAATAATAGAATATAAATCTATTTAACTACAATAATATAATAAATATTGTATTTATATTCTATGTTTATGCGTTTAGAAGATTGCGTCAGTAATATATCTTTTAAAAATATAATATAATATATGGAATTAAATTTCAGTGTAACACTGGTGGTGCAGCCATCCCACGAAGCTGCAACGAAATGCTGAAAGAAATTTCTTTCGGCTGCCTTTGCCCGCAGCATTTTGATGTCGCATTTTAGTGCATTAATTACTTTATGATCCACTTTATGTGCATAAAATATGCAAGTTTCAGGATCGGGAAAAGCAATTTCACAAGGCCCATCTTCGTGGGTGTTGCTTTGGTTTTTTTCCCCCTTTTTCAAGTCGACAAAATCAACATTGATATTAATTAGCCGCAGCCCAATATTGATTTATACCGACAATTTACTTTGTTTAATGATGGCCCCTGGCCTGGGCAAACAATTTTACATTAAATGCTTTAATAAATAAAGCTCTAAGTAAGCCAAACGGCAAACGAGAAGATGCCATATAATTACCCGGCAAATAACAAATTGCCTCTGAGTTGCAGCTCTGCGCCAAGGTGTGCATTAAGAAAGGGCCGGACCAGGGCCAGATTTTAAACCCGATTGCGAACCCTTAAGGATCCCAGAACACCGGACATCTGAGAACAAGTTGCTGGTTGTCCAATATTTATGGCACTTGTTCACGGAGTTGCAAAATGTGATTGCTAACAGGTGTGGATTTTAAACACCATAAACGATACAGTTATAGCATTGTATGGATAATCTTTTTTTAATTAATCAAATATATTTCTAAAAATTTAAATTATATTATATACAATTTAAGAACTACCCTCAATACAAGACATGATTATAAAAGATCCTCCTGTTCTAGGTAAAATTAAATTTTATCCATTTTTTATAATTTTTAATGGTTTAAGGAACTATATTTATTTTCAATTCAAAGGTAACAAGATTTAGAATAGATTTATCTATTTCTTAATTCTTACAGTACAATGAATTAACTAAAAAAAAAGAAAATGTTATTTATTTAAAAGTATTGTATTGAAATATTTTTCTAAAAATGTATATTACATTAAATACAATTTAAAAACTATTTTTTAAAGCACATTTGAGCATTGAACCGCACCTGAATTTGAGAGATCCTCCTGTCTTGACCCGATCAACTTTCCCTTTCCGCTTGACACACTCCTGGGGATGGCTCCCCATCATTTTGTGGCTGCCATTTTTTATTGGCTCAAATAACTTCATTTGTTTAAGGCTTTATTGGAGCGCCGCTGGCTAAAAAGCGATGCTGGGACAGGTCTCTCCACGGCGCAAATTACAACAATTTCTCAGACGACCAAGGAGCTGCTGCTGCCACTGCGCCACTTGCCGGTCTGGTTATTGGATACTCTATAATTTGCATGTGATTTTTATGGCTTGCTCGATTTTCATGCTAAGTTATTTGATTTTAATTTGCTGCGTAATTGCTGGTCCTCGACTTCAGCCAACTGGTTGGTAGCCACGTTGTCTAGGTCCACCTTCCTGCCCATTAACGGGCAGATTTATGTTTATGGTACTATTGACGCGACTAATCCCAAACACGATGTTGGGCCACTCAATTTCTCAGAAATAGAATGGAAGCCGTTTATCCAAAAGGGGCTGGACCGAATCGAATAGAATCTCAAGGACGATCCGTGAAGAAACGCAGCCGGCAATTAGGGAGGGTAATTGCAAGGGGGCCTAAGATGAAGTATATGGGCTTTAATTTATTTTTGGCACAGCCGATAAGTACTTAGAATTTAGTTCAAATCTGATTATTCGCGCTTAGCATGTAAATTTTAAGACGGTGACTGTTTTTCACAAGGATTTATAATATTATATCTGCTTTTGTTTCAACTTGAATTATCTATTTAGGTTACATACTCTATGAGTGAAAATACTTTTCTTTCTTTTTTAATATCAAATTAAAAGTGTGAAAATATTGTTATTGAATAAATATCAAATGAACTTGAACATAAAACTTTAAACGTACTTTAAAATAAAACAAATGGTTTTTTCCTACTTAAATATATATTTCTTCTTCCATTAAACAATTATTTTACAGTTGTTTAATTCAATTATGTTTATAGCTTTTTTTTACATTTGTATATGTTCGAAGGGAGTGCTAATAAATACACAAATAAACTAAGCCATAAACTATTCTTTATATGAGTGCCATTACTTGTGAATTTCCCAGCCCCATTGCTACCTTTCTATTGCTTTTTCCCTCGCCATTTCGGGCAGTCGAACCTCTCATATGCACAACGCCCACGTTGGAATCTGTCAGGGGTACCTCTCGACTGGCTTTAATTACCGGCGACCCAACTCCGCCCATAATCCGCCTCCTGTTTTTCGTCGGATCTCCATCCAGCTCCCAACTCCACAGGATATTATGGCCAACGGAGTTGACATGCAACTGCCAAAACGATGCTCAAAGAAAATGTTACGTTCGTCGCGCAAGTGAAAATTGCACTTTTAGTGTGTGCTTTATTTTTGTTAATTTGCAATGCAAAATAGCTGCACGATCCCGATCCCGATCCAGATCCACAGGCCTTTGCCGCGGCACACGCCCTAAACGCCACAAATGAAAACTAATGATTTTCACTTGGCCATATAACTTCGACGGAAGGGAGGGCAAGTGGAGTTGGCTCACGCAAAAGTCGCCGCACGGAAGCGAATGGGATTGCAGTTGCTTTGGGCTTGCATGGAAAATTTGAAATTTAATCGCTAGCAATTAATTTGGTCCAAATGCAGTGAAAAGCGTTCCACGGAGGAGGGGCGGCGGTGGGCGGGGCTAGGACTGGCGCCCCCACAGTTGCAGCAGCTGCACCGCCCGCTGAGCGTCGAGGTGGGTCAGTCGCATGTCCACCTGTATCGATTGGGAGCAGCAGCCGCCACGGGAGCAGATGCACTGCCAGAAAAAAAGGGCACTCTTTACCAATTTTGTCTGTGCAAAATTTTTGACACAAAGGATCCTTGTGCTTGTTACACTAATTTTGTTCCCAACAAAAATATATTTTAAAAGTCCACCGGATGACCAATTAGCACTTTAAGCATTTATTATAATAGATGAAATAAATGTATTAGATCAAAAACATATTCACCCTTAACAAAAAATGCTCTTAATCTTTTTACAAACGTTTAAGTAATTTTTGTCATTTCAGAAATTTCCCAACATAGACTGTTTAAAAATAAATCAAATATATTAAAGCCTGATGAAAGTTTTAAATATAAGCTGTGCTGTTAACATATAATATATATTTTTTAATACATTTTTCTAGGTGCACCCCAGCCCAGTTGGAGTGGCGTCTGTGTGGTCCAAGGGGTCCATCGGGTCTCTAGTCTCTAGTCGCGAGTCATGAGTCTTGAGTCTTGAGTCTCCCCGGCTCGATGACAAACGAACGTTCAGCATCCAGCATTCGGCACCGGACATTCAACATTCGCATTCGGCATCCAGCATCCAACATCCAGCATTCAACATCCAGCATTCAACATTCGACATTTGGCAAGTGGTCAACCGCTCAACGTCGCAGTCGGTGGGCAGGAAAATTGAAAAATTAACAAGTATGAAATGTGC